TTTACCTTTGATGACCTTGGTTCACTTTTTCGAGCTTTACATGTTTCTACGCTAGTTTTTGGAGCTGAATTCTTATTTAGAAACCATATGAACATTTACGAAGTAATTTTGGTACCTTCGTAACATGTTACGAAGGCACCAAATTCTTTTTTGGCATTTTTAGCATAGTGTGTTTGTCTGTGTGTGTTTTTTATGATGTGAAGGGTTTTTATGGACCAGTATGGTCTGCAATAAAGTTTTGTCTTGTCTTGTCTTGTCTTGTCTTGTCTTGTTACTCGTCACGGGCAATCCGGTCGTTTTTCCGCGAAGCTCTAGCTCGATCAGGGGCGAAGCGGCAAGGGGAGTCCAACGGACCCCCCTTATACGTTCGCGGCTGGAAAACACCAATACGGGCGAGGGTTAAACCATTCTCTTATGGTCACTACATGAATGCAGTGAAGCCGGTACACCCTCAGAAAATTGCATATCATCGCAATAACAGTACTGCGAACCGAACTTCGACTTCAACAGAACACATCAGAACTCGCAGCCCTCGCAGCGAGGAAAATCGAAAGTTGACTCAAAATCAACTTTTGGAATGCGATGCAAGTTGGCTCGCATGCTAAAAACATGCAGACTCGCTTGTTACATGGTGGTGTGGGTCACTCAGCACAGAGTGATTTCTTTAATCTTAAAGAAACCCGAAAATCCAAAAACTCGCAGCCCGCTTGCGAGGTCCAGTGCTGGGCGGCCTTAACTGTCTAATATCATTAAGCGTCATGCAAAAGTCACTGACTTTCTTGGCTCATTTGTATTCTATTCAAATTTTTGTTCGAAGTATCTCCTTATTTGATGCTGTGTTAGCAAATCATTTCAAAGATTACCGTTCGAATTGGGATTTATTGACGGCGTTGCGTATCATCGCACTTAAGCACACGAACTTTTCTCTTTCGGCTATCATTGACCGGCCAAAACAAACTTTGGTGCTACGTTCCTCTTAGCCAAAAGTAGGCAGACTGTCGCATAAGGCGGTATTTGATATCTGGCCCGCTATTTTTTGTGGTTGTTTTGTTTGCGCCCAATTGCCAGTAGCATGTTGCTAATCATTGCCAATGCTTGATTGTCCATAGTTGTTTGGTCTTGGCCTTGTGGCAATCTTCCTTTCTTTGTGTTAATCTGGACTGGCGTAATAGCTTTTTACTTGTGTGTTACCTGTAGTTGAGCGTTTAGTGCACGTTAACCCCTTGGCGCAATACTTGTCCTTGAATTTGTAGTGTGCAGTTTTTGTGTGTCAGCTGCCAGCTGTGGAACCCGGTCAATCCGTGCTGTCGGACAACTTTTTTCAGGGTGTGTTGGAACGTTTTCATTCAAATACATTCAGGGCTGTTTTCACCTTCGCAGAAAAAAAAAATCCATGGAACAGTTTGGGACAGTACATCACTTTTTATTTTCGTCTGGTGTTGAAGAAAGTGATGCAGTAGAATCCGGTTAATAAATCCTCGGACAATAAATTCAGCCGCTTATTGTGGCCACTTGAGCTGCTCACGGATTTTCTCCATACAAGCATAACTGACTCCGATTAATAAAACTATCGCTTAACCCGCGCGGGGCTGGGGTCTCCAGCCGAACGCGCGGGGCTGGGGGGGGGGGGTAAATTTTACCCCCCCCCTGTTATATCCCGAACTAATGGTCCGATTTGGAAAATTCAAACGCCAATCGAAAGCTCTCATCACGAACTACTAAAAACATGTACTTAATTTAAAGTTTGAGGTCAAGGTCAAGGTCAGGTCAAGGGTACAAATTGCAAGTTTCTACAGTATCGGCCTTGCACCGTAGTTGCCGAAGAATGGAGTCATGGACTGAGACTGATCGCCCAAAACGTGTTCTTAGGCTACCAAGACAATATTCGTTGCATACAATATCATTCAGAGGTCAAGGTCAAGGTCAGGTCAGGTCAGGTCACCAAAAAACAAAATATAGAAAAGGGCATGTGCGACACATGTTTTATGGGTCATTTTACTCATAGAATTCAATAGGCACACTCAATAAGTGATATGGACCACCTCTGGATGAATTTCAGGTCGAGGTCAGGTCAAGGTCAGGTCAAGTGAGGTCAAATTTTGAAGTTGGTTGTTAAGGCCTAAAAAGGTGTCTATCTGATGCAGTTTTTCACGGCGAATCGAATGGTGCTATTTTTGTTTCCGTACGAGGTCTAGAACTTCCAAAAAAGTCATTTTTCAAAAAAATTGTGTGTCATGACGTCATAAAATTTTGAATAACTCCCACATTTTTGAACCGATTCTTCTAAAATTTGGTATGCAGGTGCACATAGACCACTTCTCTGACATATATTCCGGTTTTTTCGATAGACTCAAAATTTTGGATTTTATAATGATTTTCCCAAAAAAGTCAGTTTTTTGAAAAAAATTTAGGTCAAAATCCAAAATTTTCAAAAAACCGAGATAGCCATTTGATAGGCAAAGTGAAATTACGTATAACCTTTTTTGTTACGTTTTGATTCCTTTGAAAATGAAGATGTTAGCGGCGTTTGAACTTTTGCCGTTTTTGAGGCGAAAATGGCGAACATGACGTCACTAAAACGTCAATTTCTCAAAAATTTTCCGACGGATTTCGCTCAAATTTTCAGGGAACGTGTCCAATTGATGTAAGAAAAGGTACTGAAAGTTTGGCGGCGCTGTGCGCCGCCGTTTTTGAGATATCGCAAAAATTCGCGAGGGGGGTAAAATTTACCCCCCCCCCCCAGCCCCGCGCGGGTTAAAGGTAGACTGCCACCTTTTTTCCACAAATCGGTTTTCACTAGAGCTGAGCCACCTATGTCCCAGACTGAAGTCGGTTTTCCGAAATTCGAACCCGTTTGCGAGAAATCGGAGACCAAAGTTCAGTTTGATGCCATTTTTTTAGTCCAAGAAAACCGACATCTCTACTGTTTATCGATAACTTTGAAACATGAATTTTCTTATCTTTTGGTAAATATATGTCAAAACTTTGATTGTTTCGAGATCAGAGAAGAATTTTGGAGTGTCAAAATAAAAGTTAAACTTATATATTCAGTAGTTCATTTTTTCCAAAAAAGTGTGGGAAATGGGGTTTAACATGGGCCGGACCCATTCCAAATGAGCCATGATTTTTAAATGTTTTACGAACTTAAATGCAAAATAGATTAAACATGGCCAATTTCTTATGAAATCATATCTATATATTAGTAAATCATAAAATACCTTACTTTTTCAAATAAAATGTAATAATCTTATGACCTTGAAGTCTAGTGATGTGTAAACATTGTCGCTAGACATTAACCGATTGATAATTGTATGATAATCGACAATTTTTTTTTCGCGATTCACGTGATGATACTTTTTCAGGTGAATTCTAAAATTTTGTTTTGTCCAGGGAATAAATCATAGGCCTATCTGAGAAAACTTTTTGAAGGTGGCAGTCTTCCTTTAAGAAGTCCAAAATGCCGTGTCACCAAGGTGGATTTATCAAGCAGAGTCTACTATAGCTTTAAATCTGTTCCGCTTACATGAATTTCCATATACATTTCTACAATCTATAATTGCCTGATGACTTTGAAGATGACTTTCTATGCTTCTATAATTTCTGTATAACTAAGGGCTGTTTGCGCTGAACTTAAGCCTGCCGTTGATCACCCACCGGGCCTGATGCATCTCAATGTGCCATGGTCGTTGCGACCAAGATTACTTTACTGTTGCGACCCCCACCAGACACGATTTGGTAGCAGAGTAATGACGTCAGCTGGTTTTGAAGTTTTCCCTTCACCCATAAGGCTTACACACAAACTGGTCAAAGTTTGAGCCAGGATTTACTAGTCTGAGAATGCAAAAAGCGATCAAATTTTGGTTCAAACGTGCGCATGCGCACGTGCGCACGTGCAGTTTTACATCCCGAGAACGGCTGAGCCGATTGCGCTCAAAATGGGCGCGCGGTAAATACCGGTTAGAAGGGTGGCCTCCGTAATTCCATGGAAATCTCGCATAAATTAAAGGTGTGCTCTGGGCTTAATAGTGTAAATGTCCATTGTGATCCTTTGCTTTTCTTCTTGTTTTTTTTTTTTCGTACCTGCTTATTTACGTTTGCTGTATGTTGCTTCGTTTTTTTTTTTTTTTTGAAAGAGATAGTTGAGTTTCTTTGGTATAACAAGCAGTGCCTATTCACCTGTGATATTAAATGATCCCTTTTTCTTTTAGCCATTTCGGTAGCTCATGTCGTGTATATACAGTGCGCGCAAGCACCCGTGTGATAGATACAGATATATAAATTCCTGTCATTTATTCAATAAATAACAAAGCCAAAAGTAAAACACATCGGTACATCATTTCACACTGCAGACAAAATGAGTACGATAAGTTAGTTATCAGTTCAATAGTGTCACAAGGGAAGTTTAGTGGTATCCGTATCCGTAGCCGAGACCGAGTCCGTATCCTCCGTATCCGCGGGCGAGTCCATATCCGTATCCTCCGTAGCCGCGGGCCAGACCATATCCGTATCCTCCGTATCCGCGGGCCAGACCCAGGCCGTATCCGCCGTATCCGTATCCAGCGCCGTATCCGCCGTATCCACCGAGTCCGACGGTTCCGACGACGGCCTTGGTGACGCGTCCGTATCCGTATCCGCCGTACTGGTTGCTGTGGGATCCGGAGATGGCGTTTCCGTATCCGTAGTATCCGGAGGCGGCGGCCACTGCCACCAGGGCGGTCAGGCACACGAACTGAAAAACAGGAAAAATGATGCCGTTAGAAAAGTTGAAAAACGCTACTGAGGAAATACGAACTGTTATTCAAAATATCTTTCTGAGCTTTGAATTTACTCTCCATTCATGTGTACCTGATTTGAGCATGAGCCAAACTCAAACAAGATCTAAAAGTTCGAAGCTAAATTGCAAGCGAGAGTTGGTACTGGGCCCTTGCCGATGCGACCGGATTGTCTTCCTTCGGCTGCTATTCCTTGGCTATTCCTGGGCTATTCCTTGGCTTACTCACAGTCAGGGTGTTCATGTTTGGTTGGTGTGTTGGCTGACTGAGCTGGTCAGGAGAGCTGTGCCTTCCACTTCTCTCAGCCGGCTTATATACCGAAAAGCCCTGGGCATACAGGTGGTCAACATGACTAAAAACATACCGGTGACCCGCCCCCTCCCCCTTGGGCAGGTCCGGAGGGCGGGGTCGGAGTTGGGTAGGGGGGGGGGGGGTCGCCGCGAGCTCCCGACTGAGGAAGCACTCTGACGTCTATGGGCTTATGCTGTTTGCGTGTGTAAGCTGGGTTATGTATGATATATATTCTGGCCCTGGTTGTTAGAATATGTTCATAATGATAACTCCGGTAAATCTGGTAAATGAAACCTGAGATTAGTATGGATTGGTCTGGTACTTTTTTCCCATTGGGCAGTAGAGCAGGTGATTCAGCATTCAAAGGCAAATTTCATTTGTATTTTCCTCCCATCCAGTACGATCTTAACACATTTATATCTTGTGAGTTGTGACATACAGCACTGCCATCATCATCATCATCATAACCAAATTTATTAAACAAATTAAACAAATAGCCACATGCAAAGTCGTGGGTGTCCAGAGGCTTTTCTCCTGGTTTGAGAGGCTTACATCTCACAAACTGGTGGGCCGATTGACTTGCGGTAATTTTTGTAGAGTAGCTCAAGCTGCATCCCTTCTAGCAAACATTGGACTTTTACCGATGCATGAGGGTGACCCCCCACTGCATGTGCGACATGTAAAATGAAGAAGCATGAAGTATCTTCCCATTACAATAACTCGGAAAATACTGGGGCGATTGAGCTGAAACTTGGCAGTTGACATGTGTGTAGACACCCACCGGGCAGTACATTTCATGAGTCACGGTTAGGGTGTTGCTGCACGTGCGCATGTGCAGGGGTCGCTTCCAGATCTCGATAACAACTGGACCGATGGCGTTAAACTTTGGTACCTATACCTACGGCTAGGGAGCGGCGAGTAGGGTGACGGGCTTAAGTCAGTTGGAACTAAGTTTGCACGTGCGCACGTGTAGTGTGCCGCTTCTACATCTCAAAAATGGCGTGGCGAATTACACTTAAATTTGGTGTGCCGTTAGCGACCGGACGGGCCCCCACAAGTCAGCAGGTGGTACCGCACTTAACAACTTTCGCACGAGCAGGGCTCACTCGCGCTTGTTCGTCGCCCCCAAAGGCGTCTCAAATGCATGTAATAGGGTAGGGTGGGGTAATTTGAACATGTGGGGCAATTTGAACATAGTGTGAATAACAGAAAATTACGGAAAATCCATAAGTGGCATGACAATAAGACCAATGAGAGAAATTATCGTAACTAAAAGGGCTATCATATGAACGGGGTTTAAAGTTTCAGGGAATGAAGATGTTGACGCACAGTGTAAAAAATCATTTTTGCAAGGAAAAACGCCTAACAACACGTCATTGCAACTTCATTGCAGCGCAAAATCTTGCATTGCTAGCGCCTAATACGCAACGGCTTTTGTTGTATAATGACCTAATCAGTGTCTTCAATCCAAGAAATTTGCTTTTGAACCCTGTTTTTTTAAAATGGCAAAATAACTTTTAGCGTGGGGGGCGTTCCACGACAAATCGACAAGTGCCCTGCACCCTCATATTTTATTTTTTGCTTAAAATTGGTCTAATGGGTTGTGATGGGCGGGGAAGCCAGCTGTGACAAGGATTTTTTTCTTCGAACAACGGTTTCCGAGATATAGCCTCGGGCAATTCCTGAAGGTCGAGCTGCAGCCCTATGTTTGGCGGCCTATAACTCAAAAACTATTGGTTTTCTGCGATAAAAACTTATATGGTTCAACTCACAATCAGCCAACAAACATTTTGGCTATTTCGGATTTTCAATTTTTGAAAATTTTGATCACGTGACCTTTTGACCTATTTTTCGAAGAGTGACCTTGATATTTTCCCCACTGAAAGTTGCAATTTTGTCTGATGACGATTAAAGCCTTATCAATTGTCATTCATATGCGAAAATAAAAAAAGTGGATATCGCCCTGCGTTGACCTCAGGTCAGGTCATTTTTATGACCTGTCCATTATTACGAGCGGGAGCGACAGCGAGATCTCGAGAATAAAGCAAGATAGCGACAAGCGGTAAACGGTGCAGGTTACACACGGATAAGGTCTATAATTTTTACTGAGGTCATTTTCAGGTCAGGTCAAAGATGACGTCACAGGAGCAAAAAGGAAGTCAAAATTGCGGCACTACATATATACCAGTATAGCGCCTTTTGGGGCGACTAACGGAGCGAGCGAGGGGGTGAGTCTTGCACGTGCGAAATTTCGAGGGGGTACCTCCAACTGACTTGTGCACGGCACCCTACTGACCGGTTTCTAGCGATGTGCCAAATTTGAGCACAATCGGCCCAGCCGTTCTCGAGATCTGGGAGCGGCACCCTGCACGTGCGCACGTGCTAAATGGGTCCCAACTGACTTGTGCACGGCACCCTACTAACTGGTCCCTAACCGTGTACCAAATTTGAGCGCCATCGGTCCAGCCGTTCTCGAGATCTGGAAACGACCCCTGCACGTGCGCACGTGCAGCAGCACCCCAACTTTGGCACATGGATATGCATTGCCTAGTGGGTGCCTACCTACATGCCAACTTTCAGCGCAATCGGCCCAGTAGTTACCGAGATATTGCAACAATTACAAAAGTGACACCTCTTCGTTTTGCACGTGGCACGTGCATAAGGGGTCACCCACATGCATCGGGAATAGTCCAATACTTGGTAGAAGGAATGAAGCTACCCTACAAAAATTACCGCGTGTAAATCGGTCAAGTGGTTGCTGAGATATAAGCCTCGCAAAAGCGTGACCACGGCCGGCCGGCCGGCCGGCCGCTCATACTCAGAAATTTCCGTTAATCTAAGGAAAGACTACGCTCGCTTCGCTCGCTCCGTAATGAAGTTTTTCTCGAATAACTTTCAAGGTATCCCAGCTAGGAACAAACTAATATCACCATCGTGATCCTCTCATCGATCCGCATCGAAACATATGTATGTTGACCTCGAAAGGTCGAAAGGTCAAAAGTTGACCTTAGGTCACGTGACCTAAGGTCAACTTTTGACCTTTCGACCTTTCGAGGTCAACATACATATCATTCGATGCGGATCGACGAGAGGATCACGATGGCGCTATTAGTTTGTTCCTAGCTGGGATACCTTGAAAGTTATTCGAGAAAAACTTCATATATATGTAGTGCCGCAATTTTGACTTCCTTTTTGCTCCTGTGACGTCATCTTTGACCTGACCTGAAAATGACCTCAGTAAAAATTATAGATCTTATCCATGTGTACCCTGCACCGTTTACCGCTTGTCGCTATCTTGCTTTATTCTCGAGATCTCGCTGTCGCTCCCGCTCGTCACGTGACCTAGGGTCAACTTTTGACCTTTCGACCTTTCGAGGTCAACATACATATGTTTCGATGCGGATCGACGAGAGGATCACGATGGTGCTATTGGTTTGTTCCTAGCTGGGATACCTTGAAAGTTATTCGAGAAAAACTTCATATATATGTAGTGCCGCAATTTTGACTTCCTTTTTGCTCCTGTGACGTCATCATTGACCTGACCTGAAAATGACCTGAGTAAAAATTATAGACCTTATCCATTTGTACCCTGCAACATTTACCGCTTGTCGCTATCTTGCTTTATTCTCGAGATCTCGCTGTCGCTCCCGCTCGTAATAATGGACAGGTCATAAAAATGACCTGACCTGAGGTCAACGCAGGGCGATATCCACTTTTTTTATTTTCGCATATGAATGACAATTGATAAGGCTTTAATCGTCATCAGACAAAATTGCAACTTTCAGTGGGGAAAATATCAAGGTCACTCTTCGAAAAATAGGTCAAAAGGTCACGTGAACAAAATTTTCAAAAATTGAAAATCCGAGATAGCCAAAATGTTTGTTGGCTGATTGTGAGTTGAACCATATAAAGTTTTTATCGTAGAAAACCAATAGTTTCTGAGTTATAGGCCGCCAAACATAGGGCTGCAGCGCGACCTCCAGGAATTGCCCGAGGCTATATCTCGGAAACCGTTGTTCGGAGAAAAAAATCCTTGCCACAGCTGGCTTCCCCGCCCATAACAACCCCTTACACCAGTTTTCAACGAAAAATAAAATATGAGGGTGCAAATTTAATTTTTTATTTGTCGATTTGTCGTGGAACGCCCCGTGGGGTAATTTGAACATAGGGTGAGAATTTGAATGAAGACAGGGATACCTCCGAAAAAAACAGCGCTTCCAGTCTTTTTTGCCAATATTTTCGACCATGGGTGTAACTTTGTATACTTTCGAGGTCCCATGTGGGACCCCAATGCGAACATTTGGGACCCCAATTGTCATTTTGGGACCCCAATAGTGGAGGCCCCCGAGACGCATCAGCTTCTTTGCAAACGGAGGTCCGATATTCATATAAAAGGTTCTCTGTTTAAATAGGAGGCCCCTTGGACAAATCGGAGGCCCTGTTGGACAAATAGGAGGCCCCCTGAACAAGTAGGAGGCCCCCTGAACAAGTAGGAGGCCCCCTGAACAAGTAGGAGGCCCCCTGAACAAGTAGGAGGCCCCCGGAAAACAGGAAGTCCCCTGGAGAAATAGGAGGCTCTCTGGACAAGTAGGAGGCCTCCTGGACAAATAGGAGGCCCTAGACAAATAAGAGGCCCCTAGACAAATAGTAAGCCCCATGGACAAGTAGGAGGCCCTCTGTACAAATAGGAGGCCCCCCTGCAAAAATAGGAGGCCCCCTGGACAAATAGGAGGTCCTAGACCTAGACAAACAGGAGGCCCCTTTCACAAAAGGAGGCCCCTGGACAAATAGGAGGCCCTCTGTACAAATAGGAGGCCCCTGCAAAAATAGGAGGCCTCCTGGACAAATAGAAGGTCCTAGACCTAGACAAAAAGGAGGCCCCTTTCACAAAAGGAGGCCCCCTGGACAAATAGGAGGCCCCTTTCACAAAAGGAGGCCCCCTGAACAAGGAGGCCCCCTGGATAAAGAGGAAGCCCCCTAAAAATAGGAGCCCTCTGGATAAATAGGAGGCCGCTTTGAAAATAAGAGGCTACTTTAACCAATAGGAGGCCCCTTGGACAAATAGGAGGCCCCCTGAACATGTAGGAGGCACGCTGGACAAATAGGAGGCCTCTTGGGCAAAGAGGCCCCCTAGAAAAATAACAGGTCCCTTGGACAAATAGGAGGCCCCCTGGACAAATAGGGGACCTCTTGAACGAATAGGAGGCTCCATGGACAAGTAGGAGCTAGAGGCTCTCTGTACGAATAGGAGGCCCCCTGGACAAATAGAAGGCTCCCTTAACAAAAAGGAGTCCCTTCAAAAAAAGGAGGCCCCGGGACAAGTAGGAGACCCTTGGACAAATAGGAGGCCCCTGCACAAATATGAGACTCCTAGTCGAATAAAAGACCCCTGGATAAATAGGAGGCCCCTGGACAAATAGGAGGCCCCTGAACACGTAGGAGGCCCCCTAGATAAAGAGGAGGCCCCCTGGAAAATAGAAGCCCCCTGGATAAATAGGGGACCTTCTGGAGAAACAGGAGGCCTCCTGGACAAATAGGAGGTCCCATAGACGAATAGGAGGCCGCTTGGACAAATAGGAGGCGCCGTTAACCAATAGGAGGCCCCCTAGACAAACAGGAGGCCCTCTGTAACAGTAGGAGGCTCTCTGTACGTACAAGAGACCGGCGCTCGACCTGTAGAAGCTTAGCCGTATGTACGCTAGGAGGCTCTCTGTGCAAGTAGTCGAAGTAGGAGGCTCTCTGTACTGTACCTACAATTACAAATAAGAGGCCCCCTGGGTAACTTAGATGCAACACAAATCGGAGGTCACCTATAAAAAAGCGGGACTCTGTTGGAATACCTGATTTAATAAATTATTTTCCTGATATTCAAATTACTTAGGTAATCCTCGTCCGCACATGGGGGGGGGGGGGCAGTGGTTGCCACACCCCCCACCCCGACCTAGGTAGTTTTTTCTGCTCTGCACTAAACATTTTGATTGCTAGAAGTCGGATATTTCGTATAGCTGCTGCTCTATCCTTTTTTAGCGTCCACTGAAAATTTCAAGTTTCTGTGGTTTTTGGTTTCGGAGATATGACCTTATTCTTCAGGTAATGTCATAACCCAAATGACAAATACCCAATATCTTGCGTTGGCGTTGGGTCTTGTGAGCTTTTGACACCTTGATTTCGGCCTTTTTTGTCAGTCTTACCTCCCACCTATCATGGAACATGTTGTTCAATGATGTAGAGATGCCAGGGTCAGGGTCAAGGTCAACCTAGGTCGTCTAAAAATATTGCGTTTTAGGCAAGCTGAATTTACTTTCGTGAAGTTTCTTTGACTGTATTTTTGGCAAAAGCTTCTCAGTTCATGATCTCATGTAATATGGACACATTCACAGTCGGTGCACACATCAGTATACTCGTACACACAGACACACACAGACATACAAACACATGTCATTGACCTTGAGCTAACTTGACCTGAAATGACCACAGCCAGCAAAAACCTAGTCGGATAGTGTGACAAAGAGGTTCTAGCTGGCTTGGCACCACAATACGGCAGCGTCATCGGTACATGATGAGCAGCGCACGTGATATTCCAACGGGCAACGGTGACCCCAAACAGCAACATTCTTTAGTTTGACCTGACCTGGAAGGTCAATGACTGACCTGATGAGGTAAAATTGGTATCATTGGATTCGTCACTTCCCAAAGAATCTGTTGCTCTTGACCGCAAGGCTTAAAATCTTGTAAGAAAAAATTGTGGTGATGTCGAATAAGATACCTACACAAGCAGCGGGCCAACCCATCATATACCGATGACGCTGCCGTATTAGTGCCAAGCGAGCTAGAACAGCTCTTTGTCACACTATCCGACTAATTTGCTGGCTGTGGTCATTTCACGTCAAGTTAGGTCAAGGTCAATGATATGTGTTTGTATGTCTGTGTATGTCTGTGTATGTACTGATGTGTGCACAGATCGGTTAATGTGTCCCTATTACACTTGATCATGAAGTGAGAAGCTTTTACTAAACATACAGTCAAAGAAACTTCACGAAAAGTAAATTCAGCTTGCCTAAAGCGCAATAATTTTAGATGACCTAGGTTGACCTTGACCCTGACTCTGACATCTGTACATCGCAGAACAACATGTTCAATGATAGGTGGGAGGTAAGACTGGCAAAAAAAAGCCGAAATCAGCGTGTCAAAAGCTCACAAGGCCCATAGCCATCGCAAGATATTGGGTATTCGTCATTTAGGACATGACATGACCTGAAGAACAAGGTCATATCTCCAAACCCAAATGCCGCAGCAGCTTGAAATTTTCAATGGACGCTGAGAAAAGATAGAAAAGCAGCTATACAAAGAAAATCAGGTTTCTAGCTTTAAAAATGTTAAGTGTAGAGCAGAAAAACTAACTTGGGGGTGGCGACCCTCCCCCCAGGTGCCGGCGAAGGTTAACCCTCACACTTTCTGGGGTCGGCTTACGGCTAGATTCCTTGCGCAATGCTGTGCCGTTAATTTTTTTTCTATTATAAAGGCATTGTGTTTTATTGTCAAAAGTGAAAAAGCCAGAAATTTTCGTCGATTTCGGATGCCGCGGGGGATATTTACATACAATGTCACCCTGCTGGCCTGGATCCACCAGTAGGGTCAGGTGACCTACCATTTCTTTATCGATATTAAAAAAAAAAAATCATGGCATCAGAGCTGTGACGAAAAATAAGTGGCCTAAATCCGATGAGAAAACTGGATTTGGGGGTACCCCATGTTTGGCTTCTGAGCCTCTGGTCCCCCAATGAAAATTTCTTAGAGGAGGCCCTGGCGTGGCTCGTAAATTACCGCTTCCGCAATTGGAGGCCCCTAATTGCTTGGAGGCCCCCACTAAATGGAGGCCCCCTTGGACGTTTGGGACCCCAATGGTGATGTCAAAGTTTCACCCATGTTTTCGACCCAAGGCAGTAGCAGATAAGTGATGCCAGTTTTAGAAAATTTACGTCTAATATCCGTCTAATGTCCGGCATTTTTGTTGATTTTCCGTCCAAAAATGTTAAAGTCAACTATTTGTCCAAGTATGTCCGAAGATTATGCAGCTATCAACACTCAAAACCGTAATTTATATTGCTTATCATGTAATTTTACCAGCCGAAAAGTGTTCATTATATTGAGAGCTTAACAAGCTTTCCATTCGCCAATCAATGCTATGCACGATTACTTTATAAAAAGCGCTGAAGTGTAGCAAGCCATCGTCCAATGTTGTCCAGTCTGCTACCTTTGTCCAACCAATTCCGAATTGGACATTGGACAAAATCAGAACTCCAAATGTCCAGGTTTCGATTGGTACCACTTTAACAGATGTAGTAGGGTTGGGAGAGTTTTTATCGAACAAAAATGATAGACGTTCTGTTAATTGAAGAGGGGCGAATTCTGTCAACTGACCGGTGTGCAGCGTGCAGATATTGATACTCTGCAACTGTTATTTTTGCTGTTGTGTTGATTTTTAAGTGAAGGTATGTTTAGAATTGTTCTGCCTATTTGTTTATGGGTCAAACAACATCGGTGCTGGCGAGACTATCGTTTTTATGACAGGTACATCCAGTATGTTCAAATTACCCCACGGTGGGGCAATTTGAACACACCGTGACTTGGTGGAGAAGTGAGGCTATGCTATTCAAGGTATGCTCGGCTGGTCCAAAAATGAGGCTTACATGGTGAAAGCAAGTGACACTTGCGCTACTGAAGCAGTTTTTCTTCATCCAGGGTTGAACTGGAATTTGGTACAACGGAGAAGACGTAAAAATATGTTCAAATTACCCCACACTACCCTAGTCAGTAGTCTTTACTCATGCTACCAGCATTCAAACTCAGACCATACGATCCCCGTACCAGCACTCACTGTTTGGCCGCCAGCGTTTGCGCCACCCCCAAACAGGTATCGGGGGGGGGGAGGGGCGGAGGTCATGACCCTGCGGTCTAAGAGACAGGCGTGGCCCCGGGCCGACCTGGGCAACCACCTCATGGTGATCGTCTTTTTGTCAGGGATTGGTCAGAACCGACCGACCTGACCCGCCGCGCTGGCACAGCGCGTGGGGTGGCAGGTGGCGGCTTATGGCGTGCCGCAGTGTCGTATTATATGATGTCACATGACAACATAATGATTAAACTAATGCTTTGTAACACTTGAGGTAGTGCCATACGACACTGTATGATTTGTCGGTCACTCACTTGGACCTCCAAGCACCATCTAACGGTCAGTTTCCTGTGTCTATGCTTACCACATGTTTTTCAAAGTATTTTAACTGATGAAGGTATGCCTAATACCTAATGAACATTAATAAGTTGTTGACATTTAACATTAGTATCCCTCTCATCATCTCTTCTCGCGTCCCTGAACTCTCCCCAAGGGACAGCTGATCGGTTGAGACGTCGCTCAAAGCCAACCCGCCGGCCGGACCTCCGGGTCAACTGGTGGGCACGGGCGGCCAGCCGAATTCAGAGTGTGGAAAAATCGGTTAATGCTTTCAGATTAACCGTGCGTTTCTCTCTCTCTCTCTCTCTCTCTCTCTCTCTCTCTCTCTCTCTCTCTCTCTCTCTCTCTCTCTCTCTCTCTCTCTCTCTCTCTCTTCTCTCTCTCTCTCTCTCTTTCTCTCTCTCTCTCTCTCTCTCTCTCTCTCTCTCTCTCTCTCTCTCTCTCTCTTTCTCTCTCCTCAGAAACGTGTTCTCGATCTATGAGAGCCTACCGGACCCATCACTCTCTCGTATGAACACCGTGGTTTCCGGCGCCATCAACCTCTGCAGCTCCGTCTACATCCTGGTCGGATTCTTCGGCTACGTGGCCTTCCACGATGTCAGCTTCGGAGGTCAGTACTGTGACGGATGACGTCACGAGATGGGATGACGTCATTTGGAGGAGTGACTTTTTGCGGGATGGATGGTCGGTCATTGTGAGTTTCCTTGCAGTTTGCTGTACCTAAGTTGGGTTTAGCTGTTTTAAAATGATATGTGTGGGTGTCCAATACGATGTTGTGCTGTTTCCACGCTCTCAATCGGGAAAGGCTGGGTATCTAAATGGCCAAGGAACACTGAATGGATACAGACTTAGGGTGAACGAACAGCGAACATCCCCCCCCCCCCGTGTAATCAGCGTTGTATCTGCCTCACCAGCCGTCAACGTTTTGAGTATAGGACTTATAGGAGTGTTGATACCGCCGAACCCTCTTCTACACAAACCTCAACAATCATATACCACTACTATGTCTCGACCTCACTCTCGACCTCTAGCCTAGCTTCTTACCCCTTTCTGTTTGATGACAACCTCTTCCAGACATGTGCATGGATCCGAGAAAATGGATCTGGGATCTGATCCCACGGATCCTGATCTCGGATCCGTCGGGAGATCAAGCTCTTATCTTATCTTATCTTATCTTATCTTATTTGTCGAGATATCCGTGTGGATCATAGATCCGAGTCTAGTATTTTTATTGAGATCCAGTGGGATCATAGATCCTCATTTATTTTTGGTTAACACAGAAATCCCAAAAGAGCACTCGTTGCAACTCACAAACGTTCTAATTTAGTGATTGTATGTGATAACACGTCATAATCCATAGTTTTATGGCACTTATTGCCATAGAAACACTTGGAAACCTGGTTTCAAATGTTGTGCATGGTGGGATCCACTCAGATCATAGATTCATGTTCTTGGTTTATCGTCAGATCCTGTGAGATCATAGATTCAGGATAAATTTTCACGCTGGATTCGGTGGGATCATAGATCCGAACCTGCAATTTGCCTTGAGATCCACTGACACATGTTGCCGAGAATTTGCACTGAAGCTGGTCGACAGCGGCTCTGCTACGACACTGTGCGCGACTATGACCGCTTACCGTTCGATGTCACCGCTCGCAACTTTCGACACCAGCTCAAAACGCACATTTTTATGGAGCAGTCTGCGATGTCTAGTTAGTTAATTACAGTTGAGCACTGTGTCTTGAACCTTGTGTTATATAATACTGAACGAGTCCGGTGTAAATAAATTTTCAAGGCCGAGGTCCTTACTGAATTTTTGAACGAGGCCGAAGGCCGAGTTCAAAAATCAGTAAGGACTGAGGTCTTGAAAATTTATCACCGGCCGAGTTTGGTATGTATTTTACTGTATGCCAACGATAAATTTATTTTCTGGACCGAAGCTCTAAGCCGGCTTACGAACGAGACCATCCCAAAATGTTGGCTTAAGTGCATTCTGGTAATGCATTTTTGACCGTGGTCAATTTGCTTACACCAGTTATTACCACACCCCTCTGGCTAATGTATTTGAATAGGCCAGGCATACAGTAAATTTACATATTTGACGTATTGCAATGAAGAGCCATGATCCATCGATTTGCTGTGAATAAAGTATCTGTATCTGTATCTGTATCTGAGATCATAGATCCATCACTCGGATCCATGCACATGTCTGACCTCTTCCTTCGCCAGCGCAGTCATCTGAACAGCAGCAAAAAAGGCTTGCGAAAGAAATTCGTTTATTGCTTGCATAAATACTAAATAAATAGCAGAAAAATAGATAAATACAGCGACACTTTCATTGCCATAGGCTGGTCATTTTTAGGCGGCAGTAGGTACGACTCGACCCGATAGTCAGATAGTCAGCCGGCTCCCTCTGCACATTTGGCCCCGACGGACGACTTTACTGTCATCTAGCGGCCGTAGCGGGTACCATGACCGCGATGGCTACGGAAGGGATGACGGCGGTGGCTGGGACGCCGGTGGGAGAAAGAGGGACGCCGGTGGGAGAAAGAGGGCCTGTGATGGCTGTAACTCGGGCTAGAAACGACATGGAACGAGCTGTGTCCGGCGCCATGGCCAGAGAAGCCGTGACCTTTGCTGGAAGAGACATGGGAAGAGGAGCTGTGACCATAACTGGGAGAGGCATGGGAAGAACCGTGGCCATGGGAAACAATGTGTCCGGAAGATACATGGGAAGAACCCTTGCCATAGCCAGAGCTGAAGGATCCGTGGGAGGAACCGTGTCCATAAGAGGAGGAGCCATGGGAAGAACCGTGTCCATGGGAGGAACCATGGCCGTGGCTGGAAGAGCCATGCGAGGAAACGTGGCCACCATAGGAACCAGACGAAATGTGTTCTACGTTAGATACATGGGAAGACCCATGTCCTTTGGTGAATCCAAAGCCGCCATGCGAAGATCCATGTCCTTTGGTAAAGCTCGAGATGCTATGGGAGGATCCGTGTCCTTTGCTGAATCCAGATCCATGTCCAAAGCCATGTCCAGATCCATGTCCAAAGCTGTGTCCACCGTGGTCGCCGCTGGCTAGTGCCAAACTTGCGATGAAACAAGCCAACTGAAAGGGAAAAGAAAAACAAACGTTATGTTTCCCAATTGTTGTTTGCTACTGCGATTTCGATGTAAGTGGCTAGTTCTCTGTAACAAAGATTGTATTGCATGGCAAGTACAACGTTACTGATATGAAAAACGTACTTTTATCGCACATCATTTACATTATCTAGGTATTTACACGTATCTATTTTTGTAGCTCCATCAAGCGTGTGTTTCGCCCGTCACACCGTATATCCCCACCGACTCACCAGTGTGATCCTCATGTTTTCTTGGCTGTTCAGAGCTCCAGTTGTGGGTGTACCACCGCAGCTGAGCTGAGAATGTGTGCCAGCTGCTGGCTGGTGGCCCATTTTATCCTCAGAGGACCGCACAGTGTCCTCCAGAGGACCCATGGGCCTCTGAGGAGGGGGGTCACTGGAGCTGAACCAAACAGGACTGGGATGGTGATTTACAGGGGGTCACGGGGGATTTAGAGGGACGGGGATGTTTTGTCAACTGAAGGTCAAGCTCACGTGTGAAGCTACGACGGTTATATGACCTAGCCACTGTGAAATGGAACATTTTACGAAGGTCAGCTCGACTCTAGTTGTGACTGTTGGCGTTGAAGATCGCGCGGGGCGGGTACTGCTGTACTGACCCTGTTTTCAGTGCACGGGCTGGATAAAGTCGGGAAATTCCGTCGGAACTTCAGTGCACGGGCTGGATAAAGTCGGGAAATTCCGTCAGAACTGTGCCTCGGAGCGGTGGTAGGGGAGGGGGAGGAGAGGGGAGGGTTTGGAGGACATGGCTGTCCTTTGATATGCTTCACTGAACCGCCCCGACGACTGAGCGCAGTCGTATTGCGTCGCTTCTCATGTCACGTACCTGCCGCTTGTGTGTCCCTATTACGGAGTATTTGACGTCAAAGTACACACCACGTCTTAGCGTTATCGTTATGGGCCCTCGTCTACCTCTCTTTAGCTTCTTTTTCTGGTACGGCTAAGACGTAGCACGTGTCTCCTAAATCGAAGACGCCAAGGGGGTTGGATGGGGGGGGGGAGTCGCGACCCCCACTCTTGGAAACCGGGGGTATCGACCGCCCACTTTTGCGATGCACAGTATGCCTTCTTGAGTTATTATGCTAGTGAAGTTAGCGTCAGCAACATCAACAAATACAACGTCAGATTTAGCATCGCTTCAAGAGCCCCCCCCCCCCCCCATAGCCAATAGCCCAATAGGTCAATAAACTGTGAGCAGGGAAGACCACCGTGACAGTACATACACCTTTTTGCGTTACACCTTTTTACCGATTTTGCAAAATGGATTTGCTCCATCATAGCATTTCGGCATCATTTAGAATTGTAAATATAGGATTGAGTGCTAGCTAAAGCCATATATAGTATGTACGCTCATTTTTTACATAAAGTGAATAGCATCCGAGAAAAACGCACCTTAAATCGTCAAATCGATTTAGATGTAGCATGGAAACGTGAATCTGTGCACATGTTTTTTGTATGAACATTGATTGACCTATATAGGTAGGTATTATGTAGGACGCATAGTATAGCTGACGCCGTTGTTTCCCCACATGCCGCAGGTAACATCCTGGTGCACCTGGTGCCGTCTCCAGTGACGCGGTGGATCAACATCGGCTTCGTCATGTCCATCGCCCTCGGCTTCCCGCTGGTCGTCTACCCGTGCCGGGTGTCGGTCAACTCCCTCCTCTTCAGACGGGTGAGTGTAGCGAAGTTGGCACCAGTCCTGTCCTTTGAACCCCTTGTCGATCTGCCTATCCCGACCTCACCGCTTTATTTCCTTATATGGTCCTGTAACGGCCGTTGGCCCGCGGACTATGACGTCCACTTGTGATGTGTGGCACTGAGTGCCGGCCGAGTCATGGGGCGGCCGCAGCCCCAGTGGAGTCTCAGGTGGTTGTTGGAGACGGCCACACTGGAACTATACATCTGAAATAACCCCGTTTCTGCCTGCGGCTTACCGCAGTAAGGAGCCAAAAGAAGCATTTTTTTATTAAAAAGAACAACGCGAGAATTTAGATTAATCATGGGTTAAAGGTCACAGTTACTGCTACAGTTTATCATTTCTCTTGTTCATGTATTCATTGACCCATTATTTTTTATGCATTCATTCGTTCATTCATTATTTAAATCGTACATTCGTTCATTCATTCATTCCTTCATAGTTTTATTTATGCGCTCCTATTCATTACTGGCTACTTATATAAATTCGATGAAACGATGAAATAAATTTGTCTGAGATATATGAACAAAAAAATGCGCCTCCCATGCTAATATATGTTGTGTTCAGCATCGACCGCCAATGGTAATTCGCACCTTTATTTTGCTAATGTGTCTGGCGTTTTGGAAACAAATCACTCTCTCATGCCCCACGTTAATTCATTATGAGTGTCTCTGCACATATTGCAGACCATACCATAACACACCGTACTCAGTAGTCAACACATGATTCTTATACATAAAGTGCCTCCCATTAAGGGGTAAGAATTCTGGGTACCGGACAAAATATCGAAAAGCAAAATATCGAATAGCAAAATATCGAAGACAAATTATCGAAGTTGCAGAATATCGAAAGCAAAATATCGAATGCGCAAAATATCGAACCGCAAAATATCGACATCGCAAAATATCGAATTGCATAATATCGAATTGCAAAATATCGAACTCGCAAAATATCGAATAGCATAATATCGAAAGCAAAATATCGAAACGCAAAATATCGAAAGACAAAATATTGAAAGACAAAATATCGAAAGACAAAACATCGAAAGACAAAATATCGAAAGACAAAATATCGGAAAGTTAAAATATCGAACGCAGAATATCGAAATGACAAAATATCGAACGCAAAATATCGAACAGACAAAATATCGAAAGACAAAATATCGAAAGACAAAATATCGAAATGGCAAAATATGGAACGCAGAATATCGAAAAGACAAAATATCGAACGCAGAATATCGAAAAGACAGAATATCGAACGCAAAATATCGAACGCAAAATATCGAAAAGGCAGAATATCGAACGCAGAATATCGAAAAGTCAAAATATCCAAATGACAAAATAACGAACGCAAAGCGTCGAAAAGGTAAAATATCGACTTGAAATGGCCCTCTGCGGACTCCTTAGAGCTCTGTCGAACTCTGTCGAAATTAGGTTTCGCTCGACAGATCTTCCAGGGCTATCAAACATGGGCTGATCCAACCCAGAGTTTTGGGAGGGGCAAACCATCACAATTTATTGCTTCTTTCATGCACTGCCATAGACGTAATGTTAAAAATGATGTCCTTTGTGGAGGGCAATTGCCCTATTTGCCATCCCCTGGATCCGCCACTGCTATCAAACACCGTTTGAGTTTTGAAAATCGGTCCAGTAGCTTCGGAGATAGGAGGGGGGGGGGGCTCTCTAAGACCCCACACATACTTTTGGGGCCCAAACGCTTGCTCCTGATGGACCCACTGAGACTCCTAGTCCTTTCCTCTATTCAGTCCTCCGTACTGGCTCTTTAGGCTAAACATCGGCTCCTGGTGGCCATCCCGGCTTTGGAGGGTCTCCATACAGGCTTTTTTGGGTCCGATGCAGTCTCTGAGAGCCATCAAAAGCCTTTCGAGCCTACGAGTGTACTGCTTTCTGAAACCCTTCAGCAACTTCTGAGGGACCGACCCTGGTCGGAGGGCTCATTCGGTCTGGGGAGTCATGTAGGTCTCTGGAGGAGCCTCTAAGGGGTCGGTTTCCAAGGGGCTTTTAAACACGGTCTTCTAAGAACGGTCTCGTAGGGCCCTTAATGGTCCACTGCGGATCCAGAAAAGTGGGTTGAGATGCTGAGGGTGGTGGCTAGACTAAAACAAGATTAGATGATAAAAACTAGCTGCATTTGCTTCGTTAGGATATGATATGATGATGAGATAGGTACACTGTAATTTCAAATATTTTGCAGAACTTGTGTGTTTGGGGATAGTTTTCCAAAATCTTCGTTTTTCATAAAGCAATGATAATCACTCTAGAAAATATCGGGGGGAGGGCGAAACTTCCAGAGGGGCCCCTTGAGAAAACTTTGCACCCCATCCGAAATTACCTTCCGCCGCCACTGCTGAGATATACAAAAAAAAATATCACAGTTTTCCAAGTCTGTCATGGACCCGCTGATTGTTCTTTGAGGCCTACAGATAACAGAGGGCCCGATGAGTTCGACAGAGCTCTAAGGAGTCCGCAGAGGGCCATTTCAAGTCGTTATTTTACCTTTTCGACACTTTGCGTTCGTTATTTTGTCTTTTTGATATTTTGCGTTCGATATTTTGCCTTTTCGATATTTTGCGTTCCATATTTTGCCTTTTCGATATTTTGCGTTCGATATTTTGTCTGTTCGATATTTTGCGTTCGATATTTTGCCTTTTCGATATTCTGCGTTCGATATTCTGCCTTTTCGATATTTTGCGTTCGATATTTTGTCTGTTCGATATTTTGCGTTCGATATTTTGTCTTTTCGATATTTTGTCTTTCGATATTTTGTCTTTCCAAACTTTGTCTTTCGATATTTTGTCTTTTGATATTTTGCTTTTCGATATTTTGCGTTTCGATATTTTGCTTTCGATATTATGCTATTCGATATTTTGCGATTTCGATATTTTGCAATTCGATATTTTGCGATTCGATATTTTGCGATTTCGATATTTTGCGATTTCGATATTTTGCAATCCGATATTTTGCGATTTCGATATTATGCAATTTCGATAATTTGCGACTTCGATATTTTGCTTTCGATAACTTGCGTTCGATATTTTGCGCTTCGATATTTTGCGTTTCGATATTTTGTCATGGAAGCAAGAATTCTCCCCCCCCCCCCCCAGCCGAACACTGCTTGGCGCAGCCTTCGCGGGCTGGGAGGTGTCGGTTGGAACTTGGACCCCCTGCCGTGTTCATTGTTTATCTCAATGCAAACAGGAACAATGCAGGGGGTGAGATGTCACCATGTGTGTCTCGGTGGTAGTGGGTCACCCCCCCCCCTCCTCCCCTCCCCCACGGCTGTTTACCTTGGCCGCCATCTGGATTGCCGTGGACCGAGCTTGTCAATAGTGGTGTTTCGTGGTGGAAGGAGGGGAGGGAGGTAGTGAAACGGAGCGAGACCTGTCTGTTCTGACCCCTCTCTCTCTCCCCTCTTTTCTCCTCCCCATCCCTCTGCTCTCTCTCTCTCTCTCTCTCTCTCTCTCTCTCTCTCTCTCTCTCTCTCTCTCTCTCTCTCTCTCTCTCTCTCTCTCTCTCTCTCTCTCTCTCTCTCTCTCCCTCCCCTCTTATCTTTCTGTCTTTATCCCTTTCCGGCTCCTAACCTTTTCCCCTCCTTACTCTGTTTCTCTCCTCTGACTTCTCTCGATTAGCCCTTTCGCTCTCCTCGTTACAGTCAGTCCGTTCAACTCCCATCCGGTTTCACTTAAGTTGGTCAGTCATCAGTCATTTACCTCCATGTGTTTTTTGTCTACTTGTTTTCCCTTTGTTAGCTTAATTTTGACAACCGAAACGAATGTACTTCTGGATGTTTAAACTAACCCTATAACCTTTAAAACAACTCTGACCAGACTCTTTATGTAATTCTCTTCTCTCTCTATTTTTTATGCCTCTCTCGGTATTTAGTAACTTATGCATTTTAATTAGTGACCTTACCCTCGTAGTTTTTAAGAGTTAAATCCAAACACTTGTTGGATTTATGTGTTTGGATTTAACTTTAAAAAAAACTACGAGAGTAAGGTCACTAATTAAAATGCTCTAATATGATCCTCGCACAAGCACTGAGAAACTTAAAGGATGTAGCTCTGACTGATTCTGTGTCCGATTCCAGCCGGGATCCAGTCTGGAGCTGCCCCAGAACCACATCCCGGAACTGCGCTTCAAATGTATCACCTTCTGCATCCTATCCAGCGCCATGTGCATCGGCATCGTAATACCCAGCATCGGTACGTAACTGGCATCGTAATACTCAGCATTGGTGCGTAACTGGCATCGTAAAACCCAGCATCGGTACGTAACTGGTATCGTAATACCCAGCATTGGTCCGTAACTGGCATCGATACGTAGCATGCATCGTAATACCCAGCATGGGTACGTAACCGGCGTTGTAATGCCAATATTCATGCATGAATTGATACACATATCCACATAATAAGAATTGATGGTTCTTAGTCAACCGGCACCAGCGTAAATTCGTCCGTGGCCTGTGCGCAGAAACGATACTGGATTGTTAATACTATCGGGCTGTTTAATCGTGTTTTCGTCTTGGTAACCGGTCATGGTCCTTTGTCATGAGCCAGTAGTTTATTGGATAGTTACTGACACCGTGCCACTTTTTTTAGAGGTTTCCGCTTATCTGCTAGAATCGGCCAGATGTTTAAATGACCACGTGATCCGCTATCAGAGGTTATTTTGTGTCTGATGTGGCCCAGCTGTTGCATGACCCCTGTGATCTGTTTTCACTTTCCAGAGGTCGTCCTAGGCCTGCTGGGGTCTACAATGGGCACGGCGATCGCCATTTTGTTCCCTTCCGTCATGTTTATCAAAAACAACTCGCGCAACAATCTAGAGAAAATGGCTGCGCAGGTAAGACGAAGACGTTTGTACTTGGAGTCTCCAGACTGTCTCAGTCAGACTGTCAGACTCCAGCCAGACTGAATGGTAGGCTATAAAGTTGCGACCGGCAGCCACTTTAGTCCAGGTAAAATGAACACTGTGGCAGTAATAAAACTAAGAGATTGTCATTGGGCTCAGCCGCTAGCAGCCAACGTTTCAGCTCTTGGTGCCTCAGATATCTATAGTGGACAGTAAAAACTGGTCAGGTCGGTCAAACCGCACCCAGCCACCTGGCCCGCCCGTACACAGGTCATCAGGCGCGGCCGTGACAGGTGCCGAGTGATATTAGTGTTGTTTTCATTTTTTTCAAGGTGATGCTGAACTTTTCTGGACTTGATGATCTTTTATTGTTCTTCATTCAAGGGTTTCAGAACTGTAGGTACGGATTTTGGGACATCAACATGGTGGGTGTTTACTGCTTGACGTGTCACTACATCAGCTACATTTCCATTCCAACTCATTGTACGTAATTTATTTACAGATGCGTTGCAATCAATGCACTACGCCATTAATTAATGATATCCATTGTTAACAAGTTGGCCTGATGTCAGGCAGCTTTTGCAAAATTGTCAGGAAACTCAGATTTGTTTTTTAATGGAAAAACACAATTCTAACGAATAGTGTTTTAACTATTGACGACAAACCGTCGGTTATAAACATACACTAGTATAAATGCACTTCATCAATCAAACGCACCACATCACCCCCTTCCCCCTCCCTCCCACCCCCAGATGTCATTTATTCTCGGCATTGTGCTACTCGTCTGCGGCACCTACATGAACCTCTACGCGGTGGACAAGCTGGCCCAGGAGCCGGCCGCGATACCAGTGGCCGTGCCGGCAGTGACCGCACCGGCCGGGGTGCCCTCAGCTGGGCCGGTCGCTGTCGGCGGGGTACTCAGCAATGTCACAGATAAGAGAGGTGGGCGGGGGTCTGACGCAATGTGTGCCGCATATCGCTCTGAGTTTTAGGGCTAAGTCGGCACCGCCGTCCCCTGTGTAACACCACCGTCCCCCTGTGTAACACCACCGTCCCCCTGTGTAACACCCCCCTGTGTAACACCGTCCCCTGTATACCACCCCCGTCCCCCTGTGTAACACCCACCTGTGTAATACCGCCGTCCCCTGTGTAACACCGCCGTCCCCCTGTGTAACACCACCGTCCCCCTGTGTAACACCCCCCTGTGTAACACGGTCCCCCTGTATACCACCCCCGTCCCCCTGTGTAACACCCACCTGTGTAATACCGCCGTCCCCTGTGTAACACCGCCGTTCCCTGTGTAACACCGCCGTCCCCTATGTAGCGGCTGTGTACGCCGTGCTGTGACAGTGACCTCTCGACAGCTGAGTGGGGGCGGTGTCAGGCGGCGGCGGAAACAGCTCCTTCGAAAGCGGCTGGTGCTGATGGGACAATGGGTGGGATAAAATGGAACATGACAAATGGGATTATATCAGATGAGATAGGTCAATAGTCCCACTGGCTTACCCGTTGGGCGAGCTGTCAGGAATTCGTATTTTGCGGTAGCAAATTATACGTCATTATTAGATATTGTTTATTTATTCAACAGAGTACATTTTTCAAGCATGAACAGCAACTGATTCTCTACGCGACCAGGGCTGTATACATACAGAAAGTGGATACATTGTCCCCACCTATAGGAACGTACTTCGTTCCGGCGCTATGAAATGACGTGTTTCCTATATTTCACACTCTCACAACATGTTAGAAACACTCACGGTATTAGTAGTAATGTTCCGGCTCATGACACTGCTATAATTGGCTCTGCTATAGTGTCCGAGCGACTGCCGCACGGTGTTTGTGACACCGACTGTACATCTCTGTGATGACCTCCTCGGTGCGTAGATGAGTTAGGTGGGTCTGATCTTCATTACGGTCTTCTTCAGTGACTCATATTCCCTCCACGTCCACCACCATATTCCAGTGCGGTCCACATTACCGCCGTCCCGGTACCGTCCGTTCAGGTTGCTCAACCCGCACCCGCCGTACCACCAGGCCCCCTGATGGTCCTGTGCACAGTGATAGTCAGACGAGCCGTCCTGGTCACGGTCACGGGTAGAGAACTTCTTATTGACGCTCCAGTACAGACTATCACCGGCAGTTCCCGAGTAGTCGGAGGCGCTCAGTTGGTAGCCGTCCTCCTCAGACGAGATACGGAACCCTTGGTATGTAGCGTATCTTTGACTGCCGTCAAACGCTTCGAGGTCAATACGAAGCTCGTACTGTCGGTATGATGTCAGCTGAAATAGGTGTTCAAGGCCCCGCCAGAATTCCTTGGTCACCTTACCAAAGCCTTCCTTGTAGTCCTTCCATCCCAGGTAGAAATCCTGGCGGGGCTCGATATTGTCTCTCCGCTGGATCACCGTCCATCTCCCTCCGTCAGTTTCCATGTCGCAGTAGGCCTCGACGGGTGGTTGTTGACTGCCATCACTGGGCCGAAGGAGGTAGACTCCTGATGGGGAGTCGACAGGCAGACCGCTGCAGTCACGAGGAAGGGAAAGATGGTTAAACTTTGTGGCGAGGTCGTCAATACGTTCCTGTTGGGATGATGTGTTGTTTATAGCTTCGGTCAGCTGGTATCCTAGAATGTCAACCTGGTAGGTCAGGTTATCCAAGTTACCCACTCTGACGGAAAGCTCACTCTGAGTCGTTTTTTGTTCGTTTAGCTGGATGTTGAGCTCGTTCAGTTGAGATTCCTGGCTGTCGAGCCTTGTAGCCAGTTGAGACGTGTGTGCGAGTTGATCTTGCTGTGTCACGATGCTATCCAGTTGACCTGTGAGGTTGTTCACTGTGGCTGCAGTCTCCACCTGTTGCGACTTTTGTTCGTTGAGCTGGTTGTTGAGCTCGCTCAGTTGAGATAGCTGACTGTCGAGCCTTGAAGCCAGTTGTGTTAGTTGGTTACCTTGCTGTGTCACGACGGTATCCAGTTGCGCTGTGACATTGTTCACTGTGGCTGCAGTCTCCTCTTGTTGTGACTTTTGTTCATTGAGCTGGGTGTTGAGCTCGCTCAGTTGAGATAGCTGACTGTCGAGCTGTGATTGCTGGCTGTCGAGTCTCGCAGTGATTCCAGTCAGTTGACTGGACAGCTCATCCATCTGCTCACTCTGTCTGCTCCTCAAAATATTGGTGGTAAGTTCCGTCACTCGAGAGTCGAGCAGAGTCATTCTGTTGTCCAGCGACTCCATCCGAGACTCGTGCCTTCTGACCGTTTTGTCCAGTGACTCCACTTGTGACTCGAGTTTTACGACGACTGGCCGAAGCTCTTGCTGAACTGCTCTTGCGATGATGGTGAACACCTCGTCAGCAAGAGCGCTGGGCAGGGCGGCCTGCTGCTGCTGCTGCTGCGCCGCGGACCACCCGGCCAGGGCGGTCCAGACGACAAGTATCACCCCGATCACTGTGCTAGCCATGTTGGCTAGGAGAGGACGTACCTCCGTCGCCGGCTGCCGACCTCGGACTGATGGCTCGGAGCTGGCAGGACGTCTGCAGAGCTCGGTGCGGCTGACCTCTGTCAGAGGCGCCACATCCGGTCAGGCGGCCCGGTCCCGTGACCGACAGACCGAGCGATAAACATTTGCAGTGGCCTCGGAGCACTCCGTTGCATTGCTGCCCCACCCGGTGGTCTCATCCATCAACCCAGTTGATTTATGCACTATAGACTCTGAAGACGTCAGGAGCGAATCATATGCGTGTTTTCGTGTGATGGTGTGGACTCAGTGTTGAAAATAAGTCGGGTCCCAGTCGGGACCAAAATATTTTGTTCTCCTACACATAGTTATACTTACCTATTCTGGGCATGGTTAGGTTTCGATCACCAGCCCAACAGTTTGTCAGTGTGTATAAAATAGAGGTGGCAAAATTTGGACCCGAGGACCCGGTCCAAAGAACCAGTCTGGACCCATATGGGTCCAGACCGGTCCCTGGAAATTTTCTGACGGGTCCAACCGAGTCCTACCATAAACTATACATCTTGCACACTACACATTATTGCAAAATATGAAGTGAATGAAGTTAATGTTTCTTTGCACACAGTAGCTCATGAGTATTCCCAGTGGGGAATAGGCTGTTTTACATGATGCAACTAATGATATCTACAAGACACAAGTAGTTTGTATCAATTGACTTTTGGGGAACGGGTCCAGCTGGTTCCGGTTCCAACTAAGACCGGGTCCGACTGGTTCCAGAAATGTCCAGCCGGGTCTGGTTCGAGTCTGGTTCCCAAAATTTACATCTTTTGCCACCTCTAGTATAAAACAAATCAAATCAAAAGTTGATCATATTGGTTAAGGATTATCTGGGTGGTTAAGTAATTTTTTAACTAAAACATTTTATGATAAAAACGTATGAATCGTATGTATAAATATCTGACCTTGTCTTGTATGAGTCTTATATCGTTAGCCACGAGTATGACTCTATGATCTCTTGTTTCTTTCTGAGACCGTCTCCATTATATTTCAGACATCATACCGGACAAACCTCCGGGAGACAAGCAACGGGAAGAGGCGAAGGCGGCGGACGCGCCGCAGGAAGAGGCGAGGAAGGAGCCGGCGATACCCGAGCCGCCGATGGAAGACCAAAAACCGGCGGTCGACGTCGCTGAGAAACCCGACAAAGACACCGACACAAAACGTGACGGCGATGACGAAAAACCTGCCTCTAAAAAACGCAAGACGAGTGACGAGAAGGCCGCTGATGGCGAGGCCGAAGCTATTAATTCAGCTGGTGACGGTGCTGGCAAAAAGAAGTCCAGCAACCGCAGCAAACATCGCGGTTCAAAGAAGACGGCCGGCGCGGATGAGGGTGGAAATGAAGTTGAAGATGATGTTGAAGCCGATGTTGTCGCTGGCGATTCTAAAAAGCGTTCTGCGGACGCTGTCGGCGGCGGGGAGGGCCTGGACGTAGGCGCTCTTCAGAAGGAGGAAGAGGAACGCGAGCGTGACGACGCGCTACGTCCCGAGGACCCGCAGGCGAAGAAGCTGGAGCTGAAGCAGGAGGAGGTGCTACAGAAGCTGGAGGAGACGCACAAGGAGCAGAAGGAGCTGCTGCAGGCTCAGAAGGCGCTGCTGGATGAGATGAAGCAGCAGAGGTCGGAGCAGGCGGCGGCAGGCGGACAGCAGCAAGGTCAGCCGGCTCAGCAGGTGGCGCAGCAGCCGTATGCCGCCCAACAGTCGCCCGATCAGGGGCAGCCAAATGTCCCGGTGCAGCAAATACCAGTAGCAGCACAGGCCGTAGCGGGACAAGTGCCAGGAGCTCAGTCTATGGGAGGACAAGTACCAGCCCAGGCCGTACCGGGACAAATGCCTGCGGGTCAGCCTTTAACAGGACAACTGCCTCCGGGACAAGTTATGACGGGACAAGTGCAAGGGCAAGGTTTTCAGGGACAGCTGGCCCCGGGTCAGGCTGCCGGAGTGCAGGTGCCTGCAGGGCAGGTAATGGCAGGACAGATGCCTGCAGGTCAAGCGTACGCAGCTGTGGGGCAGCAGCAGGTACCGGCCGCCCCACAGCCTGCCGCCCCGCAGCAGCAGCAGTATGTGGCCAACCAGCCACAGGTGAACCAGGTGCCAAATATGCAACAAGGCCAACAAGCGCTGTACCAGCAGCAGGGGCAGGCTCAGCAGCAAGGCCAACTGCCACAAGGACAACAGGTTCAGCCAGCACAGCAGGCTCAGCAGCAGCCTCCACAGCAGCTCCAATATCAACAGCAACCTCAGCAGCAGTATCAACAGCCACAGCAAATCCAGCAGTCGCAGCAAGATCGGCCCCAGCAGCAGCAGTTTCAGCAGGCGTCTCTGAACCAGCCGGCGCCGGCTGCGGTAGAGCTGCCCTCTGTACAACAGCCGGCAGCGGTCCCGGCGGCAGCGGACCGGGTAGCCAGCAGGAGGGAAAAGGCAGCACAGGTGTCAGTGGACGGCGAAAAGAAGAAACGGAAACAGGTAAGTGGAATGGCGTTGACGTCAGTTTAGTAGAACGACTCCAATAGAATGGCTTATAGCTACTCTGGTTTATAGTAAATTCTATCAATGTAAACTTGTATGATTATCTTTGTTGCTAAGCATATTCTTTTTTCCTATTGGCCTTTTTTGTGGAGCTATGTCTCATGGAGACAATAGCAGACATTTTGGATGTTAGGACAAGGGATTGAGGAGACACTGAACTCGGATACCTACCTAGTACCTACTGTCCCAATCGCGTGCTTCACTGCTCCCTTCATTCTCCGCTACCGACTCCTCTGACGGCAGCTCCCGAAACTGAAGCTTCTCATTCCACCCGACAGGCGGCGCACGATCGTATTCGCCGGGACGCAGACGTGTCAGCGATAAAAGACGAGATGTTGGTGGGCCTGCCGGAGAACTGGGCGGCCATGGAAGCGGCTGGAGTTGGCGCGTCGTCACATAAACGGCGCTAGAGGGCAGGAGAATAGTGAGGTAGAGAGAGGGTGGGACTGAGCAAGGTTTGAAGATATGGAGAACTTGGAGTGAGGTGAACGGGACGTGTTTGATGTTAAACCGTGAAGGCGAGAGTTGATATTCGTTCCTATGACATATCTACGAGCTACTCGACTTGATGGTGGTTTGTGATAACTGAGGTTCGCACGCTGCGTATTGTGTTGTTTTGTTCTGACTTGTACATTTCCGAGCTGTGGGTGGAGAATGTGTGTAGAATGTCATAGCCAAACTTGTTACAAAAGCTCCACTCAAAGCTCAAAGGAACCCAGGAAATGACATAACGTTGCTGTATAGTCGAAAAGAATTCCTGCATGTGATGAGTTTGGAACAGGGGGAGGCACTCGCCTTGGCCGTATATGGGCCAGAATGTCTAACGATTTCCGCCATGTTGTGTATACCAAAGTCTTGAAAAGTTGATCACTGCAATCAAACTGCAAGCATGAAGCAGCAGCACTTTTGAGTAGTGTACCTCTCACTAAACTGCACCTCTGCTACCGTACATGCAATTTATATTTCTGGTATACACAACATGGCGGAAATCGATAGACAAAAACAAGTCACCAATGCTCCTTCCAGTATATATTAGAGTTCAGTGGTTTGGAAGCGTTTTCTGCTCTGCGGCAAAGAGGGGCGTGACTGGAGGAAGGGTAGTGAGTTTTATCGAGAAAAAGCGCGGGGCCAATGAACGGTGGCACTTTTATATTGAGTAGGAATGTCAATGGCTGAAAGTTATTGGAGTTCGTGGTAAATGCTGTATATTTATTCCGGTTGGCGACCGGGTATTTTCAGAGAAACTAGGCATTATATGCTGCAGCCGGAGCGTTTTAGGCACTGTTACTAGGGTGTATCGTCGAATTTTGATTTTTTTTAATCGTCTTCACTACTAAATTTTATTGGTCCCTGGCATGTTTGAAGCCGTAGGATACCAATCAAAAAAAATCTGGGACGAAAACCTAGCCTGCTGCGAGCGGTTGAACGGAAGCCTGTCGGGACGGCGCCAGGCGTTGAAGTCTCCCCGTTAGTTACGCGCACACTAGCACCACGCGGCGGCTGGCGCCGTGCCGCCGCGTTCCCGGTCAGCCGTGTTTTAGCGTTCACTGACGGGTCGAAGTGATTATTCTAAGCTTTCCTAAGAAGCTTTCTGCCCCGCAGCTCATTATTGAGCAAGAATATCACACAAACTGCATAGAACATTGACATGCAGGTTGTCGGCACATATGGAGAAGGGGATGTTTTGGTTAATGCCTCCTTTAATAGGAAGAGATTGTGGAAGAACAACACATTTCTTTTGGAAATTACTCATCCTCCTTCTTCCTACGTGCCTGCTTTAGTAATCGAAGTACCCCTATTGACTCTACGTTCTTGATTCGGCTGTGGATTTTATGCATGGAATTCCGCTATATTATATTTTCTCGCTCAATGTCCCCTGAGCTATATTGAGGCGTCACGGGACAGCAATGCTCAGCACACAACCGCAGAGAAAAGTCAATGTGGCCATGCGTTTTGTATGCCAAAATGTGTGAGCCTTGGTGTGTACCAGCAGCCGTTGTCACCATTGTAATTTTCACGACTTTATCTTTATAAGGATGCAATTTCCCACTTCCTAGTTCCCAGACTGGGTTTGGAGATATTATAGTTTTACAGAAACATTTGGGAATGACTGTAATGTAAGTTAAAGCGAATACCGAAAGCAATCCACATATTTTCTATTTCCTGTTTGCTGTATTGCTTATTAAATGCCAGACGTCATGATGGCATGGTTGCGATTGATGGTATGCCGGATGGCCAGGGTACGAACTCACGGTAAGTCAGCTTGGCCGGCAGGCATCAACAGGCACAATAGTCTTACACTGATATCGTCACCCTCAGTTATTCGTCACCATTCAGCAACAAGCCCAGAGCTTCGGGCTTTGAACCGTAAGGTACAGGTGTAGGAGCAAGACATTGCGCCGATTCGAAGGGCTGGAAGGGCAGCATCGCGGGGGCTGGAATGCGCCTGAGCGGCTGAGACCATCCCATTGGGACGGGGGTGTTCTGGGTGCACTCAGCCGCTCATGCTGGGAAATGCATCCAATGGAGCTCTCCATTCGAATGATTAGGGTGACCTTTAGTCTAGAACAAGGAAGGATGACCGTTGGCTGGTCCCGAGGATAGATACAAAGGACAGGTAATGACATCATACAATGAATCGAAGACGGCCCCGGTCCGATCCTCTGATAGAGGTTCATCAACACGTATCTCGTTGTGGACCATTTCGTTTTCCTCCACCGTAGTTTTTGCACCGACCTGAACGGGTTGGAAGGTAACGATGTTCAGAAACCATTAAGATCGTAATTGTATATTCGTTGTATATTCGTTCACTGAGCAGGTAGGACAGGTTCAACACAGTGAAAACCTCATCCTATCATCCAATAATCATAAAGAAGTCTTCATGGAATGGAAAGGCTAACCTAACTCAACGAATATACAATTACGACCTTAATGGTTTCTGAACATCGTAATCTTCCAACCCGTTGAGGTCGGTGCAAAAACCACGGTGGAGGAAAACGAAATGGTCCACAACGAGATACGTGTTGATGAGCCTCTATCAGAGGATCGGGCCGGGGCCGTCTTCGATTCATTATATGATGTCATTACCTGTCCTTTCTATCCTCGGGACCAGCCAACCATCATCCTTCTTTGTTCTAGACTAAAGGTCAGCCTAATCATTCCAAACGGGTGGGGATGGGGTAGAGCTCCATTCAGGATGCATTTCCCAGCATGAGCGGCTGAGTGCACCCAGAACACCCCCGTCCCAATGGGATGGTCTAAGCCGCTCAGGCGCATTCCAGCCCCCGCGATGCTGCCCTTCCAGCCCTTCGAATCGGCGCAATGTCTTGCTCCTACACCTGTACCTTACGGTTCAAAGCCCGAAGCTCTGGGCTTGTTGCTGAATGGTGACGAATAACTGAGGGTGACGATATCAGTGTAAGACTATTGTGCCTGTTGATGCCTGCCGGCCAAGCTGACTTACCGTGAGTTCGTACCCTGGCCATCCGGCATACCATCAATCGCAACCATGCCATCATGACGTCTGGCATTTTCTGGCATTTAATAAGCAATACAGCAAACAGGAAATAGAAAATATGTGGATTGCTTTCGGTATTCGCTTTAACTTACATTACAGACATTCCCAAATGTTTCTGTAAAACTATAATATCTCCAAACCCAGTCTGGGAACTAGGAAGTGGGAAATTGCATCCTTATAAAGATAAAGTCGTGAAAATTACAATGGTGACAACGGCTGCTGGTACACACCAAGGCTCACACATTTTGGCATACAAAACGCATGGCCACATTGACTTTTCTCTGCGGTTGTGTGCTGAGCATTGCTGTCCCGTGACGCCTCAATATAGCTCAGGGGACATTGGGCGAGAAAATATAATATAGCGGAATTCCATGCATAAAATCCACAGCCGAATCAAGAACGTAGTCAATAGGGGTACTTCGATTACTAAAGCAGGCACGTAGGAAGAAGGAGGATGAGTAATTTCCAAAAGAAATGTGTTGTTCTTCCACAATCTCTTCCTATTAAAGGAGGCATTAACCAAAACATCCCCTTCTCCATATGTGCCGACAACCTGCATGTCAATGTTCTATGCAGTTTGTGCGATATTCTTGCTCAATAATGAGCTGCGGGGCAGAAAGCTTCTTAGGAAAGCTTAGAATAATCACTTCGACCCGTCAGTGAACGCTAAAACACGGCTGACCGGGAACGCGGCGGCACGGCGCCAGCCGCCGCGTGGTGCTAGTGTGCGCGTAACTAACGGGAAGACTTCAACGCCTGGCGCCGTCCCGACAGGCTTCCGTTCAACCGCTCGCAGCAGGCTAGGTTTTCGTCCCAGATTTTTTTGATTGGTATCCTACGGCTTCAAACATGCCAGGGACCAATAAAATTTAGTAGTGAAGACGATTAAAAAAAATCAAAATTCGACGATACACCCTAACTGTTACGTCAGAAATAGTCATCAGAATAGGCAACTTTTAGGGAGGCATCGTATAATAGCCTTGTAAGATGTGCCGTCGACTGTTCCGTGTCCATATTTAACTTGAATAATGTGATCACTGATCAGCAGCTCACGAAGTCAACACAGACTGAGCTCTGTACTTTTGAGGTCTGTAAACACAAGAAACACAAGAAATCATCACTTATTTTCACAGCTGTGTCAGTAATATACGCAGTCTGCATTGAGCTTAGATATCGTCTTTTTGAGAAACACGCTCCGAAACGAACTATAATTCGTTTTGCCGATAGGACGGTGAAGTATGACGAAACAACGCCCATGGTTGACGACGGAATAGAAGCACGAGCGTAATAAATGATGGCATTGATGAATGATTTACTTGTTCTAGCCTCTTGCCCAGCAATCTAAATTTGTAATTCGACATCGAATGGGATTTTCGTTGACGAGATGGCGGCTTCCACCGTACCAGTATATTGTGTGTTGTCTGAACTTGACGTCTGTGCCACGAAACGAGCCGAGCATCGTTATTTGGTTGTTTGCCGTGAGAGTGAGGGGCAATTGCTGCTGAAATGAGTAAGAGATGCGTGTGTTTGTCGAATTGGAAATCACTGTGTGTATTTGAATGTCACTGTAAATCAGCGCAATGAATGCTGTGTAAATTGCATACGATGGGTGTGATACATATCTTGTGTAAGCTTTTACCGTTTTGTTTGTTAATTTGGAGGCAGTTTGACTTTGTGAATGTTTTTAAACGAATAGCCAAGACCTCGTATCACGGACAGCTCCATGGTACCTGCACTGGCGAGCTGAGCATGTACCAGTTGCCAAGGCCGGCAACTTCCGCTGCTGTTCACGCGCTGGAATGCGGATTTGTGCTATCAGCTGCTGAAGATTGATTCCTACCGACGTAATGCGGTACCTTCGTGGGCTAGTTTTGTGTGATTTGATATGGTGTTGATTTGAACTACTCTGGCCGGTACATTCATGGCAAATTGCACAATGCACATGTGAAAAAAATACATGTGTAAAAGTGTGTATTTTTTTTGCGCCCTGAGCATTGTGGGCAAGCCGGACACGGGTGACGGTCGACTCAGCATGGGCGGCACAGTGGTCCGTGCCTCGACCATTGGTCCATCAGATGAAGTTTGTACCTAATGGAGCGCTGTTTAGCGACTCAAATTGCTATACGTGTTCGTAATTTTGGGAATAATTCTAGCGAACTTCCTGATGAACGGAAGTGTGTGATACATTATATCTCAAAGTCACCTCAAATACATGAACATTGACGGACCGCTGACCAGAGGACCGTTCACGGGCCCTCAGTGTGCGGTGGGACCCTACACAGGCTACAAGCTCCGCCCGCTGTGTCCCTACTAGAGATGTCAATCGGATACCAACTTTTTGGTATACCGATACCAAATCGATACCAACTTGGTATTTGGTATTTCAATCCTAATGTATTTGGTATGTTGTTGGTATCATAAACCCTCACTAATGTATAAGAGGCTAAGAAATCGGTAAAAAGTTGGTATTTCCCTCATTTTCCCAAGTTGGTTTGGTTTCGGTATTTTCCCGTGGTTTTGGTTGGTATTTGGTTTGGTATCGGTATTCCAATTTTCCGTAATTGACATCACTAGTCCCTACCCTAGGTAGTCTACGTCATCCTTCCCGTCACCGTACACAGCTACACTGTGGCCAGTCCCGACCGACCACAGCGGTCCGGCTGTGCGCGGTAAGTCGAGATTGCATATCACTTACACAAATAGGTACACCCGTCTCTGTACCTATTTGTACCACCACACCCGTCTCTTCGGTGACACACTCAGACATTTACATAGAACGACGTAAAGCACAACATACTGACACACCACATCCACCTTTACGGTTTACCACTGGCTGACCGAGCTGGGGCCGTCCGGCGTCCAGGAGCTCTACTCACTACTGGTCCAGGGGGTTGCTCGGCGGGCTGCTGGCGGGGTCTGTACTGGCTGACCCCAGTTGCGCGATTATTGTCAGTTTCGTTTTGCCCGATTTTGGAGAGGCGCTTTAATTTAAGTTTATCTTTTTGCGCCGATCCACCACTGAATTTTGTTCTTTTGTTTTTATCACTCAATAAAATGAACTGAACTGACTGAACTGACCGCACACGCCGCACTCAGCAGTTTGCGGTGCCCGTGATCGTGAGATCGTGAATAGCCCTCAGTGTTAGTCCATCGGGTAAAGAAAAAATAGCAAGGAAAAACTCTACCCGAATATGGTAGCATCGACAAACCTTGCGCTCCTGTTTCATTTGTTTCCATGGCAACAGGTGTAGAAACAACAGGCTGCGTAATAGTGCGTATGTGACTGAGTTGGCTTTTTGTTTTACCCCGCGTTCGATGTCTCTCGGACGGCGAAGATTCTACGTCGTCCGGCCAATCCCGCTCAAGGTCAGTGGGGGCTCGGCTGCGGTTATGGAACGTGATTGGCCGGACGGCGTAGAATCTTCGTCGTCTGAAAGACATCGAACGCGGGGTTAATTTATTGTTATTTTCCAGCTAGGCCACATACCAAGGTACCACATAGTAGGGGCCGTCGATCCCTGCTGAATCCCTGCTGAACCCCTGCTGAATCCCTGCTAACTTCCGTTACATAAAAAAATACCGCCTGCCTGATTCATTTCACAGCAAGATCATGATAGATATCCTTATCAGCCGTGCTTATCAGCTTCAGGTTGTCATAGCAATAACAATAAATGCGTTTCAGTATTCAGCATTCTTCGATTACTTATTAATATTCATATTGATATTGCTGGGCGCAAAATGACATTAGTAGTTGGTGTGCCCTAAAGCCCCAATTAACAAACAATGATAATTGATATTGCCTGCTATATCAATATCAGTTGGGGAAACTACGAGGAGTCAAACAAAAATTGGATCAGCCAATCAACGGCTGGAGTGGGCGACCATATCAACTTCATCTTTTCCATGCATCCTAGCATCCAAATGAAATAGGCATAAGAATGTTTTTTAACCACAGTAGGCCTACACTCACTTGGTGCACAATGCACTGGCAGATCTAAATCTCAGAGTTACAATACAAGGTAAAACAGTGATTGGCAAATATGTCATTATTTTTATTATTTTGTTTATGGGTTTTCCAATTTTTGCTAAATTATCATTCTAAAATTAAATATCTTAATTTATTCAAACAAAATTAAATCTTAAAACAATTAAACACCATTTTTCTTTTAAACCTCATCCCTTACCTACCTGACCAGGTAAGAATACCAATCCATTTATGGAATGGCCAGTTGATTGACGCCCAGAATGTGCAGAAAAGCCATTTTCCCATCTCCATTTTCGAGTGAATTCGCCAAATTTAATCAAATCGAGTTAATTCATAGTGGAAACTGGAGGCCTTTTCTCTCCGATAAGAAGACGTGATACCGCAAGTACCGGCATGTTTTACCATTTTTCTTCTGTAGTAGCGAGGGCTGCATTTATGCCCATATATGGTCATCAAAAGTCTATTTATTGATCAATCAATTTTTGGATCTTCCCCTCGTAGTTTCCCCAACTGATTTTGATATGTATATGGGAATTTTGGAAATGGGTCAAATTGCTTGCTGTAGGTACACTAGTTTCTTTATGTACCTACTTTCTTACAGATGAGCCCACTAAACTGAATCACAATTTGTTCATCATTCCCTCTGAACTCACCCAAGCCGACCGCACAGGCCTGAGTTGCGGCCATGTCACTGCTGTGGGAGGACCGGGAGGTCAGGTTTGACATCGCCCCAGCCCAGATGAAGATGAGGCCTGGCGAGCAGCTCATAGACACCCTGGATTCGGTAGAGGACACCAAAGGTGAAATCCGACAGGGAATATGTGTGTTAAGTGTCAATGTCAATGACGCATGCCTACCTACTTAAATGTCACAAAGTAACTTGATAAAACTGTGAATTGTGATGTTGGTTGCAGATGCTGCCTTCCATGCTCTGACCTTTAGCTGGGCAGCTCGCCCATTTACAATATGATGCTAATGCTATATTTTTTATATGAATCATGGATATCTCACCACTCGACATATGACTGCGTCCCCTAACAATGTTGGAATTGTGAATTTTGGTCCTGGTCCCGGAGGATAAAATCTGGCCGGAGAACTGGCCAGCTTGTAGAACACTCAACAGGAAAATCGTTTGGCCTACTAAATGTGACACTAGATAAATGTGTTCTCTCAATACCTACCAGTGGCGGATCCAGGGGGGGGGCAAAATGGGCATTTGCCCCCCCCCCAAACGGCATGATTTTAACATTACGCCTATGGACGATGCATGGAAAGAATCGATAAATTTTTATGGTTTGCCCCCCCCAAACCTCTGAGCTGGATCCGCCTCTGATACCTACTATAACTGCATGTTTTGAGCGTAATAGTAATAACAGTTTTTCATCACACAGGCTGGAAGTTTAAGAGATTACAGATGCCGGTGTATAAATTTCTGAAGGAGAACGAAATCGCTTGGACCCGACTGGGATCAGCAAAGGGCCTTATTTCCAACATTGTCCCCTAACCATCTCATTACCAACCCTGTAATTACCAGGTAACAGTGGAGATAGAGGCCGGATGCTTGTGACGAACCTCCGTGTCATTTGGCACTCCCATGCCATGCCGCGTGTCAGCCTCTCTGTTGGCTACAACTGCGTGCTCAACATCACAGTCAAACAGGTTTGTCAGAGGAAAAATGTCATGTTATTTCTGGGATTGTTGGGATTCAATGGGTTTGTGACATCTGAAAAGTTGAAAACCTTGTCTGCAAATTTTGTAAGCCACTGCACCTTTGAAGCTTCTCACACTGATTGAATTTCTCTTCAACATTTATGGGCCCATGTTTGGCATTTTGTAACCTATCTGCATGTTATTTGGGTGTGGGTATGATTTTGGATAAAGTTACACAATACCCATCTCGTGTTATTCAGCCCAGCTGTCAAGATTGAGGCAAAATCCATTCACAAGTGATATTTTTGCTCAAAAGATTTGCTATTCGGGACATCGGCTCCATGCGGGACACGGTGCACACCACCAGTATGCATAGATTCGTATCCTCGTCTACTAACGCCTTAGCCCGCCCCCACAGGTCAACTCCAAGCTGCGCGGTCTGACCGAAGCCCTCTACATCCTGACCAAGGCGGGCAACACCCGCTTCGAGTTCATCTTCACCAACCTCACTCCGGGCAGCCAGCGTCTCTTCACGTCTGTGAATGGTGTGCACAAGGCCTACGCCAGCTCCAGGCTCTACCGGTAAACGAACGTGGGCCTCGGAATGCGCGGGAAGGATGGATGCAAAGAGTGAACCAGGTTAGAGGGATAAAACGGGATTTGTCGGGGCTTGATATGCGTTGTTGCTTTGGTTATGATGAATTGAGCGGGACTCTCGCTTATCGTCTGCAAATTTTAATATGCCAGCAATGCTATTAGAAGATGTTCTGATTGCTATTAAAGTCATAGAAAACATTGCAACCACCGATGGTTTTCATTCCATTTTTTTTTTTTTTTTGCTGAGATCTTCAACATGTTATTTTTAGAGATGAAGTTACATAGTAAAAAGTCTTTTTTGCGTAGTATGACACGATATTTTTGCTATATGAAGGTTTTGCTATTTAACGGTACCTATTAGATATTTCTTTTCAATGATCTTCAAACAACATTTTACTTGTTGCATTGGCCCGCTCATTAGCCAAGTATCGTACCTCGAGCGTGCCACCTAACCGAACTACGTGCATTCGGCAGCGAGCTGAAGCTGCGCGGTGCCGTGGTGTCCAACAAGCAGCTGCGCCTGCTGCCCCAGGAGGAGATCGTGAGCCGGGTGAACGGGGTGTGGAACCTCTCCTCCGACCAGGGCAACCTGGGCACCTTCATCATCACCAATGTGCGGCTCGTCTGGTTCGCCAATATGAACGAACAGGTGAGGACGCTAGTGAAGAGAATGGTGACGCTTCATGGTTTTTGACGCGTTGCAGTTTTTATATTTTTGTGAGGTCCATCAAAGAACAAGTTTGCCGTGATGGGCAGAGTTGGAAACTGTTCCATATGTGCATTTTACATCGGAAGACTTCTGCTAGTTTTTTTTTTTGGGGGGGGGGGAGGATGAGGAATGAAAACTGTTGTTGTTTTGCTGCTTGGCTTTGCGTTCCCTCAAATGGGTTCGACGATGTTGGTTCCGCCTTACCATGCCTTACCTTCAACATATCCATCAGTTTGACACGTTCATTCCATGCTGCCTGCAGTAAAACTCACCGCTCGCTCGATCTCCTGCTAGTGAATTCTGCTCAGTCTACTTACCCGCCTCCCTGTCCACCCAGTTCAACATGTCTCTGCCATACCTCCAAATGGACTCTGTGCGCACTCGTGACTCCAAGTTCGGGCCGGCACTGGTGGTTGAGTCGACAGAGGCCAGCGGTGGCTATGTGCTCGGATTCCGTATCGACCCCAAGGAGAAACTCACGGAGGTCTACAAGGAACTCTACTCGCTGTTTCAGGTGGGGATGTGTTGCACGTGGTTTTAGCAGAAGAGTGGATCCATGGATATTTGTGACTTCACCTGTATTAGTGGGGGTTACGCGGTTGGTGATCGAATAAATAGATAAATAAATAAATAACTAAATATATAAATAAATGAACTTAATTTGCAATGGGAGTGCATTCTTCAATACTCCGTAGCCTGACTCGTTGAACCAGACGTGTGATCTTTAAGCTTAACCTCTCTGCCTTATTTTGTCACAAGCTCACATCCCTCTCTGTGTCTCATCTTTGCCCCGACAGGTGTTTAGCGAGACGCCCATATTCGGTGTCCAGTACTCCCGGGACGCGACCGACACACAACTGACTGCCGAGGAACTCAGTTCGGACCTGGACAACATAGCCGAGATTGACGATGTGGACCCGCCAGCCGATACGTTCGCGTCCTATTTCGCCGATGGAGATCACGCCCAGGTGGGAGGGTGGGGGAGGAGGGAGGGGAGGAGATAGGAGGAAGGGGAGGAGGGAGGAAGGGGAGGGGGGAGACCAGGCCATCAGGCCGGATCGGAGGAAGCATGGAACGATTAAAGGAAAGAGAGAAAGCGTATTGTGTCGAGAAGTCACGTGTTTCATATCGGCCTTAATTAAAGATGGATTTAACATCGGCATTGTGAGAAAGTTTTCTTTAAGAAATGTCTGTGATTCACTTTTGTGTCTGTATTAAGAAATTCAGCACGTCTATTTGTCCTATACCCTCCCATAAAATGCTAGCTGTTTCTTCCTACATGCATTGGTTACACTGTCATCTGTTCCTTCTCTCAACCTCTGACATCAGTTGCGGACCGTATGTTGTACCGAGATGGCGTTCTGACGGCCGCCCGTCCTTCCCCCCAGGACCGGGAGCCCGTCTACTGCCCCGAGCTTGGGCTGGCCGTGGAGAGACTCAAGGACGGCTTCACGCTGCAGAGCCTGTGGGAGGTGGTGCCGCAGTAGACGCCGAACGTGCCGGAGAAGAGGGTGGCGGAGTTTTTCGAGATCTCAAGTGAATGGGCCCAATCTTACCAAGGTCGTAAATAGGATTTGGCAGCACAGCTGGCCGGAGTTCACGGCACTGATATCAAAGACATCCTTTTTGTTGACATCCAGCTAATCTTGTCCAATGATTTTGTTGGCATGAATGATTTTGAATGTTGCCTGAACGAATGAATAAGTGAATGGTGGAATAGTTCTGAATGTTACCAAATGCCGTGAATGCGCATTCACGGCATTTGGTAAGATTGGGCCCAGAACAGGACTTCTCAGCTGAAGTCCCTGTCTAGTCATGTTACAGCTGAGTTGTCACGTGTATTCGCGAGCGGTGACCAACGGGAGGTGCCGACCGGTCGGCGGAGGCGGACCCGCCCGAAGGGGATAGCAGGGCGCGTCCAGGCACACATGAGTGGGTAGGTGATTAGAATCCTTATTTACCTTAGCCGTATTTGATAGAAGATGCACTACCACTCCAGGTCACCCACGTGCTGCTCTTGGGACAGTTACGAGGCGCGTTTGCTCAGCAAACCCGAGAATTGAGGGTCTGCGAGGGTATAAAAGAAGGCTCTAGCCGCTCAGCACGGTCAGTTGATCTCAGTTGCAGTTATGATGTGTAGCCTAACCAAACCAGGTCGGTCCGAACCGAATCCGTCCAGTGTTGACCGTCCATGGAAGGTGACGGTGGTTCTAGTCACCAGACTCACTAGTTGTCCGTCCAGTTAGCAGTGAGGGTGGTGTAATCTCTCCGCCATACACCAGTCGTGCTCTTGTGTCTTACTTTATGAGACTCGCCGCCGCACACTCAATAAATTGAGCATCTTCCTCCGCCCTCGTTTCGCACACGTATGCGACTTTGCTGAATGCATTACGCATTTTATGCGTATTTATATTTTATTGTCGCGTATAGTATGGTTCTTTCGATACCCTCACGTGCTCTGTATCGGCGTGTGTGAGTTGGCGCACAAACGGCGGTGTATTGTCGATGGTGCGAAGGGAGTGTTGGTGTTCGTTGTACGGTGTAATGCACTCTGCGAAGTGCATGACACTGCACTTTGCACTAGGTGATACTGTGCACGCGACGTCTAATTGATATTGTGACTTCTGTGTAATGTTTCTTTAGCTGCTATTGCAACCCGGGCTTTGGTTTGACTCACTTACCAGTCAGTGCGACTGTAAACAATTGATGTTGATGTACGTTATCGGCTTTACTGTTTCGTGTGATAATTTCAGACTCTGACCACTTCGTGTAATCGCTATTGCATCGTTTGCTTTGCACGTACTTACGTTCACAATTTGAGGCTGGGGGGCTAGTCAAGTGGTCAGTTTGGACGCTCTCAGGGTGGTGTCAAGAGGAAAGTATCTGGTATATGTTGCATTAATTTTTAATTCAAGTGTTTTAATTTATTTGTTGGTCTCAAAGCACCTGCCACCAAGTATAAGGTCCAATAAAGACAAGACAAGTGTGAGGTCATGTTTTTTGTGTGGCTGACCCCAGACGGGGTCGTAAATCAAGACCACCACTGACCTTCGGAGTTCGAATTGTAACAATAACAAATCGTACGAAATTCAGGTGTGCCTCAGACTTCACCAGCGAAAGGACTCAGCGCATTTGTTCAACGAATGGAGGCGAAATGGGTCCAGTATTGTTGCTTTTCTCCAATATTTTTATCTGACAGAGTTTTATCTAATATGGCAGCACTAAACAATCAGCTGTTGGCCGTCGCTCAGCTGCTGCAGTTTTGGTCCGTCAGTTTGTCGCGTTGCCGTCGAGAGGTTGGGTGGGTCCGCGCGACCGGAGTGCGAGTGTTTTGGGTGCTTGTGGATCCTCGGGGCACCTCAATTCTGAAGAAAGGCTCCGAAATTTTATTGGAATATTTATATATGCATTTGAAGACCAAACTCTCTTGATTCAAGTCTCAAAGACTGCGGGTGTGCGAGGTGCTGCCGTTGGTGCCTGTTTAAGTTGAAGATTTTCTGCTGATTTTCCTGTCAGTGTTTGAGTGTTTGTGAGTGCTTTGTTGTGTTATCTGCACCAGATAGGTGAAGATTTCTGAGTTTAAAATGGGAGACATGTCACCTGAGTTTGCAACAAAGGATGAAGAAATTGCATTTTGGAAGGGCCTCGCTCAGGATTTGAAAATAAGGTAAGCTCATTTTCAGCAAATTATTTTCTTTGAGTTGTCATAGTGCCCACCTGTTACTTCAAAGTAAAAGCGAAATTTTTCATTTATAAAGTAATACATCATAAGGGTCTTATGGTAGGGCCCATTCTTGTCCCCTGATAAATTCTATTCAGCTGTTCCAGATTGTTCACAGATGTCTGCCTATGTTGCTTTGAGCTTGTCTTCCACAGTTCAGAAAAATTATGCTCAACTGGGTTTGGTTCAAGAAATTCCAGCTCACCTTCATTGACCCGACCCCATCACACTTTCCGTTCCACAGACTGGCCGAGTCCCGGGACGAGCTGGACGAGTTCCAGGAGAACTCCCGCGAGCTGGAGGCCGAGCTGGAGGCACAGCTGGAGCAGCAGGAGGCCAGGGTGAAGGAGCTCACCGCCCGCCTGGCACGCGTCCAGACTGAAAACGACCAGATCAAGGTAGCGTGCCAGGGATGGTGGTGGGTCTTCCCTCTCCTACTTTTGTTGTTGAATGACATCCTATGGCAGTCCTGATGCCACTGTCCATGAATCATGAGCCACTGTCTGGCAGGTATTATGTTGATCAGGACTCAGGATGACCATTGAGTCGTGCAGTTGAATTGATGAGGTGTGGTTGTGACTTGTGATTGAAAGAGTTACATTGCAATGAGGTTGAGATTACTGCCCCACAAAGGCAAATGTGCATAACCAACATGGTGATGTATGCTGATTGTTGGTTATGCACCTTTTGCTTTCATGTGACAAATTATCTATGATTGAGATTGAGTGGCAGCTACTGCAATGACACATGCACAAGGATTTGTCGGAGGAATGTTTTTGTGTTCAGCACCCAACAGTGACCTACTGGGATAGATAGGGGCTACATTGACACTGGCCATGCGCACGATTCGACTGTCTAAGAGAAGCTAGATGGTCGTAAAATGCGAGACAATCGTAAAATCGATACTAGTTTTGGCCTACTAGTGCCATGCCTCTATTCTTTTATGACTAGGGACTGACACAAATGGGCCCCATGCAATATTGGAGATTGGGACTGTGATGCGACATGAAATTGAACTGCGTTCGAAAATGGGGTTCCTGATCCATCTATCGATTGCAATCGCAAATGGTTAGTGGCTCCATTTATCGTAATTGGCGAGGGGCGGTGCGTCCACTAAATGTCATGGGATGATATTTGGCGCATACAAAGTCGGTATTAATGTAGGTACTAGGTACCTATGTACGGAATCGATGTGAATAAGCTCTGCTATTCCGATCCTCTCACTACTAAATTTTGGTTGAAAAAGGTCAATTCAGTGTCCACTTTGTCGCTATTCGTTAGAAAAAATTATCGCGATGCTTGCACACTAGCATGTTTCGTTGGATCATTACTGTTTGATCAGGCTGGTTCAAGCTATTTCAATTACGCATATTATGCTTTAATCGACTGAACCCATCTCTAGTAGTCTCCAACTCCAATTCTACCGCGACTGTTATCCAAGCCCAACTCCGACTCGGACTCTGGCGCCGTCTCCGACTGTAATCCTGCTCCAACTGTGTGAACTGGCACGGCACAGGACGCCCGCGGGACAGGTAGTGACCGAACACGGTGTGAACCGGGCCACCGCCGCTGGTGACGCCAGTTCTGTCCGGTCCCGGAGACACTTCCGGAGGGCTTCTACAAGTCGTTATGAGACGGAGACGTGCGAACTAGACAGACTGAGACGTGCGAACTAGACAGACTGAGACGTGCGAAATAGACAGACTGAGACGTGCGAAATAGACAGACTGAGACATGCGAAATATAGCCGGTAGGCCGTGGAGGTGTCTGATGGTATTGGATTAAATGGGGCGAAGGAGTCAAAATTGAGAAATCATAGCGTTTGGGTAATGTATGTATCAAAATGCATTTGTGTTTGGAGTAATTATGTGGCAACTGATTATCAGGACATATTGCTTTTTTGATATTCTGAGCATGGCGAGCAATGAATATTGTTTGTACGAACATGCTAATAACTGTCTGTGTGGTATGCCAGGTTTTGAGTTTCGCCCAGTTTTGAGTTTGATTAATGTGTTGATGGTTGACACGACACAAGCGCGCAGCTTGCATTCGTTTACTGATATAATCAGTTGATTGCGTGATCTTCGGGCCGTTCTGGACTGGCGTGATTTCTGCCAATATGTCGTAAATGGATACGAGTGACACGCGGTATCAATTCGGCAGCGTTGTACTGGGGACGTAGGACAGTTATGGCTGGCCTAAATCGGTCCGCTCACGGTTACAACGGCCGCTAGTTTTCGTGAGTTAGGTATTGGAAACGGGCGTAGACGCTGGGTTCGTGATCAGTGTAACGATACTGGTTTATCTTTTTTTTTTAGTGAGGGTCTTGTAACCTGGTTTTGATGCCATTCTGCCTTTATTTTTGTAGTCGCTACCCGATACAGTGTCTTACTGGAAAGTCATGATTTATCAGATGTCCGAATCCCGTCTCCATTCTCAAAAGCTTAGTTTGATTTTCTATTACACTTTGGCCTCCATTTATTTGATGGGTCACCTAGAAAGTCGGTCCTACTACCATCTCACAAACACCATGATTGGAGATGTATCATGTTTAGGTGATGAGACATCCAAGATAAAGCCTGATATTTCTGACTCGCCCGGAACGAAATAAACCATCCTTGGCGCTTCAATTTGAACTCTAACGGTTATTAACGGGTCTCAGTTACATGCAGACGTCACCGATGTTTATAAACGAGTCATAGCGCGTGACTTTGAAGTGGTTTGATGTGTCGTCGATTGCGTTTCGAATTCGATAGTTCTCTTGGATGTTTTGGAAAGATTTTGTGTGAACTTTTTCAATGAACGAATCAATCTCCACGTTCCACTAAAACGGAAATTTCGTGCCACCGAATGCGATGGTGTCTGACTGGTTTCTGAAGTGGTGGGATGGAGGGGGAGGGACGCCCCATGGCTACCAGACAACCTCCAGCTACTTCGTGTTTCGTCACTCGACAGGCAGCAATCCTGTCTCCGTGGGAGGCCCGGCTGGCTGGTTTCGCTTCTAAATGGATTGGCTCCGGTGCTGCCAGCGCAGCTAGTTTGTTTTGAGAGCGACCGGTGTGGATAGGGGACGGGTCCGTGAAAAAGTTTGCGACTTTTCGGTCCTTTCTTCACCTTCCTTTTACCGTAATTCAATTGTTTGAGATGTATTTTGCACGGACTGCATTGATTCTTTTACGGAAGCCCATCAGAAGCCGTCACGCCGGTCTCTGACACTAAGCTCAGTTTGCTTTAAAGCTGAACTGGGAAGCCTCATAGTCGCAGAGTCCGACCCACTTCCTTCTTCCATTGTCCCTGACTCCAAGATCACACCGCTCCAGATTCCATGACTCCAGAGTCGATGGCCTCATGGTTCATGGTCTTACCATAACCCCAGAGCTCACCCTCAATCCACATGACTCTAGACCTAGGGTCCATGCGACACTCACCTTCCAAACATCCTGTCCAGTTCGTAATGAAGGCCCGTTTTTGCCCCCGTTTCAGCCGGTCCGGGGAGGGGGGGGGGACCAGCCTGCCGGTCACGGAGGTCGTACTGCGGCCAGTGACACCGTCCTGCCCTTCCGTACCTGTTCGTGATAAATTCCAACCACAGAGACACGACTCGGGACCGGGCGCCTTGCTTCTGATTGGCGTGGTGCTCACGCCTTGATTACGATGGATTTAGGTGTTTGGTTTGGTTTTAATTTGGATTCTTACTTGCTCTTCTAGACGTCACATTTTATCGTGTTGAGTTGATTCCCACGTTCTGGTTCAATGGTGAACAACAGCTGGTCTGCTTGTGAGCGAATGGCAACGTAACTTGGGGTCAAAATATCTTATAATCTGTTTGTCACGAATAGATACCAAAAAGGTTCATGTTCGTGTCACCTTGTCATTTTATTCCACATTGTTTTTCCATTTACTTTTTACGCTCACATTTTGAAGTCGTCTTAGGAAACTAAGCAAATATCCAGTTGACATTATGTAACTGATGGTTACGAAATCCCTATCTGCTGCCCAAAATATACAATTGATTGCAGAACATTTACCATTCCATTGTCCATACCTGCATCTATCCATCCACCCTGCAAATGCATTCTTACATAATATTGAGTCACAAATCTTGCTTTATGTGTAGACGTGCCGCCGTCGCCAACCTGACTCCCCGCAGACACCAAGTTGCTGCTGTGCTGTATTCGCCGCCGAGACACGCCAAGACTGAACCACGCGGTTGAAACGGAGCCCACAAAACATCGGAACTCAAGATACTAGGGCTGCAATTAAATACAGAGCAAACCTATGGCACGGAAAACAATTATGACAATACAAAATTAATACTAGATTGGCATGGATTAAACAGAACCCAAAATAAAGTCTAAACGCGGCAAATAAATAACACTGACGAAAAGGGAAGAGAGTACTAAATTGAACAGAATAGGAAATCACCAACATGACTACATCCGACCCTCTCAACAAAATAGCAGACATTCAACGGTGAAACCAACTCAGATACGAACACAGCAACACATCACTGACACACGAGTATCAAAGTACCACAGGCCGCAGCGCGCGGCGCACTCTCGCCGCAGCGCGCGGCGCACACTCGCCGCAGCGCGCGGCGCACTCTCGCCGCAGCGCGCGGTGCACTCTCGCCGCAGCGCGCGGCGCACTCTCGCCGCAGCGCGCGGCGCACTCTCGCCGCAGCGCGCGGCGCACTCTCGCCGCAGCGCGCGGCGCACTCTCGCCGCAGCGCGCGGCGCACTCTCGCCGCAGCGCGCGGCGCACTCTCGCCGCAGCGCGCGGCGCACCCTCGCCGCAGCGCGCGGCGCACCCTCGCCGCAGCGCGCGGCGCACCCTCGCCGCAGCGCGCGGCGCACCCTCGCCGCAGCGCGCGGCGCACTCTCACCGCAGAGCGCGGCCGCGGACAGCACGGCCGCAGACTGCACGGCCGCAGACCGCATGGCCGCGGGCAGCACGGCCGCGGGCAGCACGGCCGCGGACAGCACGGCCGCGGGCAGCACGGCCGCGGACAGCACGGCCGCGGACAGCACGGCCGCGGGCAGCACGGCCGCGGACAGCACGGCCGCGGACAGCACGGACAGCACGGCCGCGGACAGCACGGCCGCGGGCAGCACGGCCGCGGGCAGCACAGCCGACAGACGTAACTGGGAAAATAAAAGCGTTAAGCACAACAACCAATCCAGCGGCACACTGTTCCGTTCGAACGAAAACGACCCAACTGAAACGTCACGAAGGCTACACGTTATGTCACACTGCATGTTCCGTTCCACAGAACGACCAGACGGGCGTCCCCGCCAGACCTGCTACGACATTACCAAACGATGCACCCACAACGACAACAGTCAAATAGTCATCGATCAAAACTCTTGTAGCGCACAAGGCAGAACTGTTAGTTGCTGGTGCTCACCTCACTCAGCAGGCTCAAATAATCAAGGGCAAAATCTGTCCGGAGGTCGCGGCACTCGCTCAGAGCGCCGCAGAGTGGGCACCGGAACCACGGGTCCTGGCACACCGGGGGTGGCAACATCACTCACCAGAGGCTCACCCACTTCCCCATCACGGTCAGGAAGAGCCTCAGTCGCAGGTCCACTGTCTGCCCTTCCGCGGAAAGGCGGCAGGTAGGAGTCGCCACCCAGCGCCGCACAGCGCGGCAACGGAGACGGTCGAGACGGCAGCTGTACATCAGTCTCTGTGCAGGGGGACACCACAGTACTGGGAATCGACATATTTGGGGCTGCGACAGGGACTGATGGGTCATCATCACGAGGTTTCAGTCTATTGTGGTGAACAACGACAGACTTTTTTCCTCCCAACAACCTCACCCGGTAATTCAGTTCGGACAGCTTTTTGACGATCACAGCCGGTTTCCATGGCCTGATGAATTTGTAATACTGGCCACTCTTTGCCACACTCCTGAAAAGGTACACAGGGTCACCTTCCTGGAAACTATACGTGGTCAGTTTCTTGTCAAACAGTCGTTTGTTGCGCGCGTGGCGTCTGTTTGAGGCCTCAAGCGCGACTTTGTGCGAAAGCTTAATTCGTTCAGTCAGCTTTGACAAGTAGTCAGCGATAGTGACAGTTTTTGGCGCAGTGGAGGGTGCTTGTATTTGCACCGACGCTGGCAGCCTCGGATTTCTACCGAACATCAGGTAGTACGGGGAGTGACCTAGTGAAGAATGCACTTTGGCTCTATACCCAAGCATGAGGAGCGGTATGTGTACATCCCATTCAGTATGGTTCGCATCCAGGTACTTTGCAAGCATGTCAAGAATAGTTCTCATCATTCGTTCACACTTGGAATTTCCCTCAGGGTGAAAGGCTGAAGAAAAGGACTTCTCTACACCAAGCAGACGACACACCTCAGCAAGAAGAGAACCCGAAAAGTTGGCTGCATTGTCTGAGTGAATTCGTCGGGGGCAACCGAAACGTGCAATAAATTGGTTCACGAGAACATCAGCAACAGTGGCGGCAGACATGTCGGGGACAGGAAAAACCTCACACCATCGGGTAAAATGGTCGCAAACGACGAGAAGGTGTTTGTTGCCCCGGGCAGTGGTAGGCAAACCACACAGAAAGTCAATGGAAACTGTTTCGAACGGCTCGTCGGAATATAGTTCGCCCATGGAGGCTCTCGGGCGCGGAACCGGTGTGGCGCGAGTATTGCATTGCACGCAGCGACTGCAAAATTCTTTGATCGTGGTCTCCATACCACACCACCAGAACTCACGTCTCGCGGTCAGAGTAAGGGACTCGGCACCAAAATGGCCACCAGCTGGGCCAGCGTGCAGTGAAGTGAGCACGCCAGCAACCAACTGCTGTGGGACAACCAGCTGCAGCTGGTCCTCTCCACCCGCACAAGACCGAAAACAGCGAAACACAACACCATCCACAATTCGCAATCGGTGCCATTGGCGCAAGAGGGGAACAGTCTCTGGGGAAACTGCAGACGATCTGGGCCTCTTACCCATCGAAAGATGTCTGGCTATCTCAGAAATAGCCGCATCCTGGTCCTGCTCGTGTCGCAAGAAACTGTTTGACCAGGCATTTGTCGAAACAGCATTCACACATTCGTCAGTCTGAGTTTCAACGTCACGCGACTGAGGACAGCGACTCATCACATCAGCGGGTATGTTTTCTGCACCAGGACGATAAACAATGTCAAAATCAAACCCGGAAAGAATCTCAAACCACCTGGCGAGAATCCCAGTAGGGTTCTTAAACGTCAGTAGCCACCTAAGACTAGCGTGGTCTGTGTTCAACTCAAAACGTTTACCAATCAAATAATGTCTGAAATGTTGGGTAAAAACTACACACGCCAACAGTTCTTTGCGAGTCGTACTATAATTTCGTTGTGACTTACTCAGTTTTTGTGATGCATAGGCAATCACACGGTCTTCACCGTCCTGTTCCTGAAAGAGCGTTGCCCCGATGCCCAGGTCAGACGCGTCAGTGTCAAGGCGGAACCTTCCGGCTCCAGCAGAAAACCGGGGAAACGAAACCACGGGTGCAGCAGACAGGGCACCCTTCAACCTATCAAACGCGGTCTGTGCTTCCTCAGTCCACGCAAACTGTGTGTCCTTCTGGGTCAAGTGGAACAAGGGGGCAGCGATCTCTGCGAAGTTTTTCACAAACTTACGGAAATAGGAA